AAAAATGTCTACTTTGGTTTTAATTATTATGTTTTATATCTAAATTTGACAATGTATCTCACTCTCTCTGAACTACAGACCCGTAATGAATCTTCCTTTGATGTTTAATATAATTGACAGACCACAGAGTTATACCATAAGTAGTGTATGCTAAGCAGGTGGAGGCATTATCCTCATTTCGCAGTCCCGTAACTTCGCAAAGAGAACAGTCTCTTATCTCAGAGACTACAGCTTGTTTATCGTCCAACTCCCATTTATGACTTCGTTATTTCCCTATTCTGACGACATAAAAATGTCGTCCATAAGAATAACTTGGTACTTTTATCTCAGTATGTACGTTGATAAGAGAAAATAATGAGCGAGCTTATTCGGATCGATTGTGATTAAGTTGTTATTGTGGCCGAGTTAATAAAGTAAGATGTAATGATACCGCAGTAGAGATAGGTTATTGAATTATGTATGTTATTTAAGAGGGTCCTTCATAACTCATATAATATTACAGTTGTGTCTTCATTTATTGGATATTCTTAAGACAATATTTGTTACACTTTGACTTATTGTATATACAAATGTTAACTCAATATTGTGGAAGCCCTCGTCCAATTTATTTCCTAATAGACAACGCAGTGAATAGATGATGATATAATGTAGAGGCGTTCTTGATGTCGCAGGTGTAAATAAATAGGAACCATCAGCTGCCAACGACTTTGTTTGCGTATGTATATTAATTGATCGTAATCGAGTACATAATCTTGAAAGAATTAGTTATACGAGTATATTTTAGCACTTATTTCTTCCAATCACGTGATACCTCACAAAATGGACACTGCCCACGTTCAGAACGGCGTGTTTAATCTCATCGTCGTAACTTTCAAACTATTTGTACAAATTACGTCGCGTAAAGAACAAATTTTATCTACTTTATTACAAAAACTAATAAAAGTACTTATATTGATATGAATTAAGGTAAAATTGTAAATTAATACAGTATTCAAATTAAATATATTTATAGTTTACTATTTTGGCTATAACGGTATTCACGTAATAAATAGAGTAGTTATGCTACATCGGATTTTTTGTATTCATAAATATATAATATTAATGTAACAGTAAAGCTTCATCAAAATCCGCTTACTGGTTATTGCCTGAAAGAGCAACAAACATCCATCCAAACCAACTTTTATTTTATAATTAGTAGGAAGTATCATATAATTTAACTTTATAGCGAATGTTGAATAATAAAATATTATTTTAAAAGACTATTAAAAATTATTACTTATAGAAGTGTCGAATGAATAACAAGAAATAAGAATATAACATTAAACATTCAAATCATATCATGTTGCACGGTGACTTCAAATAAAATTCATTTCTTTTTTATTTAGGTACTATAATTTCAACCCTTTAAACTCGTGACTTAGATACATAATATCGTACTTCCCTCTGTTTAGTCACTCGACTGCCTCAAGATCCAATTAAATTCTGAACCAATTCAATTAGAGCATTTAACTTCTTTTCACTGACAAAAGCGGCAGGTAGTTTGTGTTTGACCTGTTTTTATGTTGGGGACAATAGTCTTATTATATTTTATGAAACACTTATGCAAGCTTGAGGGGAATCTCTTGAGTGGTAATGTGCACCACTCGATGGAAATGTCTCTGGACCTTATTACATCGCTTTATATGTCTGCCTATTTAGCTTTCTATTATAAAACTAGGTTGATATTCATGCTATGGTTCACCTATGAACATCAACCTAGTCTATATAAAGTTCTTTGTAGACTTTATAAATAGTAGGTTACGTATTCGCAATAAACAGAAGGTTGAGATGTTTATTAACCGAAAGGAAAAAAATGAAGTATCACTTTATATAATTATAACCATAATTTTTCATGTTATTTCAGATTCTGTAGTATCATTTGTGGGTTTTAAATATAGTATTATAGTTATAATTATATTTAAAATGAAACCGCTCTAATGGGGTTCTTCTATAATAGAGAAGAGTTTTTCATGAAACCAATCAAATATCAATAAACTTAGAAAACAAATACGACTGTTGATAAATAGGTAACTCACATATATTTCTTCAAAGTTTCAAATCGTGATAGAAAACGTGCTGATAATTTGCATGTGTTAAAGACCGACTTGTCAAGAAAAATCTCCCCTACGGAAAATGGTGTGCTTAGGGAAATACAGATAAAGTAATGGCATTTCTTGAAGTATTTTCATAGTTATCTAATACAGAATATAATCTGTAGATACTAAACACTATAGAATTATTATGTTAAATGTAAACAAAGTAATTACGTAAATTTAGTTTAAGTATCGAACTTTAATAAAAAAAATACCTTACTACAGAGAAAGCAGTTAAAAATGTAGATACATAATGTTTCTGGGACTACTTGATAATTTTCAGACTTCAGTAAATGTAGATACTAATCCTCATTCAATCATTATTCGTCGTCTCAAATGTGATTCAAATCTGATGGCTTAATTTATGTACATAATATTATATTTAATTATTTTTGTGAATAGATTTGTATTGATTATTCAATGCATAAAAGATACTTGTAGCGAGGTGGAAGTTATTCGGAACATGTAGATATCACAAAAACTCTCAGTAATAGCTGCTAATGCATGTGAATATGGAGAAAGTTTCGCGGCAGCCATTCCAGCACAATCTCAAATTAAATCTCTGCTGACTCGACTTCGAGAAGACGGGCTCGATAAAAAGTGTGTATAAAATAGTCGTACCTATTGAACAATAGAAATAAAATTTTATATTTCTATTCCTTAAACCAATTTCACGGAAATAAATATTTATGATTTTTTGTTTGAGATTACTGAATTTTCTATTGGCTAATTGCAATTTCGGAAATAGGTAACGTAAGGTTTTACCGAGGTAATTTATAGAAAATCATCTGCATGGGTATTATTATATTATTCATTTCAACCACCAAACAGCAAGCTTTAAGTGAGTTATTTGGTTTTTTCTTTATAAAATATATAGATTTAGAATAATATGCAAATAGCTGAATGCTGAACAAACAGAATTTATTTATTTACTCTAACCTCATTGGTATCAATAATATTTAAGTACCTATATTTTGTTCTTTTATCTCAGAAACTAATTTAACATTACGTATATTGCCAGCTTTTTGCAATTCTTAAATGTATTCTAGCAGTATCTCAAAACATTATTAGTAATAGATTTTTATAGATTACTCAGAAATATTATGTTAAACACACATTATTTTGGCTAAAACGCATTAACACAAAATTAATAAAGTATAGGTAATATTAATAAATATAGGGTTTCTGTATCAAAATTATTTTCTTAATTGACATATATTTCATTGGAACAAAGTCATTTAAAAAAAAAACATAATACAATATTTAATATATTATATGGTTAAAAATAGTTGCTTTGTAGCTTAATACCGTAAAATTACTGTATGGACGGAAATCATTAAAATAAATTTCGTGTTGTTTAAACATAGACAGTAATGGAAATAGGTACTAATGCACTTTAAAATTAATCGTCTAAAATGAAAATTTACGATTCTACAAATCCGTATCGCAGGTACAGCACTAAACTACTACATCTGGTAGCTTTATTTGAACATTTGTCATTTAAAACTGCCAATTTAGTGCCCCGAAATAAAAAATCAGACTATAGGAAATGACGGTAATTGAATTGTTTGCATTTACTTAATATTATCATTATGGAAGGCAGTACTGTTTTAAACAGTTTTATACAGATGGATATAGGCAGACAATAACATTTCGTAATGATACTTATCTACAATTTTTTATAATATTTGACCGAATACAATAATAAGTGTTTACATTTTACAGGGGTTGCTCTATTGTACGCTATCGAGCAAGAAATTGTCGATAACGACCTCCTTTTAGGAATGAAAAAAGAGGTCCCGTAATGAAAAGGTGTTTCGCTTCACTTTTTAATATACAGTGCCATATTTCAACCGCCTTATCAATATAAATGGGTTATGAGATTACAAAATTAATGAATCTGGGTACTTCGAATGTAAATATCGTAAATAGGTAGTTAAATACCTAACTAATTATCCGCTGAATACAATTTTAAACACATGTCTACAGGCAGATGCCTAAATGATCCTATGTTATGTTCCTAGTTAAAACCTGCAGGGTTGCATTTTTCTAATGATAAAATATAATCATTTAATAAATACATTATTAATGCTATCATATACTTATATGTACGTAATCCTTAAAAGCATAACCTGTCTAACTTAGCATGTTTTATTTCTATAAATGTTATAATTTTTATAGTAATAGTTATTTTACATAGTATAAAATAAAGTCGCTGTCGCTGCCTGTCCGTCACTATGTGTGCTTAAATATTTGAAACTACGCAACGGATTTTGAAGCAGTTTTTTTAATAGATAGAGTGATTCTAGAGTATGGTTTAGATTTATAATACTTGTACACCCGGGCGAAGCCGGGGCGAGTAGCTAGTAACTAATAAATATGAAAATATATCTACAAGAAGTACATATACCTGTAGTGACATTATTACTTTATTATTTAATAGTATATTGTCAGGTATGTACCAATTTGAATGTAGGCATCATTGGCATTCAACTGGCGAGGAATCTAGATGTAAGTGGGCTGAGCACCGAGGCCTATAGCATTGATATTACTATATGTCGTAGGTACATCTATTTCGTTGGTATTGACATAGATTCTTACGTTAAATAATGAAGAAAACCTGTAGAATATAGAAAACAATTCATATTTTAAGTTATAAATACTATTTAATCTAATATATAATAATCTCATTTAGCAGTATTTATTATTGAACCCCTTTGAAATGGTATGACATTTTTAGGACATATTTGGTTAGTATTTGATAAATCTAAGAATTGGTCGTATGCTATTTTATATACTCCTAAGTGTGTAACGCCTAACAAGAATGGCCCTATCTAGAAATAAAAGTAAAATAAAAGTATGAGCGAATAGAATAAAATAGTATAATTTATGAAAACATATTAACAATTACAGAAAATGACTTAAATTTCACACTTGCAACTAGTTTAATTTTAAACAGTGTATGAGTATAGGGCAATGTTTCACTGAAGGTTCTTGAGTTCCTGTAAATCAAACACTACAGTGTATGGCTCGCCTGTCGCACACAGAACAACGGAAGCACCAAGGCTCGAAATCAACATTACGAGCATTCCCTTACGTACGCCACAGTATACTAAGGCACAATATACATACATAAAGTACTCAGTCCTCAAGTTATATTTTTTCTTCTAGTGGATACAATGACTACATTACCGCTAAACAAATTAGAACATTTAGATTAAACTAAACGTTTATTTTATCTAAAACTAAAAGTTTATTTTATCTATGATACAATTACAATATTTTGGAAAATATTAGGAAGAAATAGAAATTTTTGTCCTGTGTATGCTAATAAGAAAAATATTTTTTATGTAAACTTTTTTTATGTAAAGAATTGTCAATAATAAATGGTCATCATTTGTAAATTGCAAAAAAAGTCTTCAAAAATAATAATTATAAAAAACATTTTAATAATAAATAAGACATGAATGGTTGCTATAAAATAAAAAATAGCAACACCTATAGTTTATAAGAGATACCTACTCTCTTGGCAGTTTTTGGGTATTACTCTCCTAGTAGTTTATAGCAAATACTCATAAGGCATATTTTTTTAAAATAATGTGATTCATGCCTTATATAATCGATCCTAGAGAAAAGAATGTGAATGTATAGTAAAGTATAATGAAAATCCTAGCTAATAAACGAGTTGCGACGACTAGTCACTGTGCTCTTAAAAATAAGCACTTAATCAACAATGGAGTATATACAAAATTATTTTTGCTACAATCTACATTGGACTTGAAAAATAATGCATGGATACAAATTTATTTCCTCAGATGAAATAAGTAAAAAATACATATATTTTAGTGTGTTATATTACACTTACTTTTATAACATTAAACAATGTTAAGAGCTTTTAAGATGGTAATATTCCATATCAATAACTTTTACTATTTCGCTGATTAGTTTTTGTTCAATTTTTAAAAACAGGAAGTTTTATACTTATTGCTTTTATTTCTATTTAAATGTCTATTTATATATATGCAAATTCATAAATGACCAGATATTTGGGCCCAATGTCTTATGAACCCATCATATAATACATCCAATATAGATTATAGTATACACAACCTAAGAAATACTAAAATTAATTAATAACTATTTTCTTTTCAGATTGTCTGGTATGTAATTGTCTTTGCCTGGAATACCCGTCCCACCCGAATCACCCAACCACGGGTACCTGAAAGTAAAATAATTAATAATATGAATAATATTAACTGTCAGTAAAATAAATGCTATCAATTAAGGAATAACAGTATATAAATGTTCATGAACATACATAAACGTTGTGAATTTTACGTGTGAACTGAATCGTGTTGTATTAAATTGCAGGTAATTTTATTATTTTAAATCTTTCATGTGAATTTATTTATGAAGAATCAATGATATTATTTCACTCCAATATTGCTTTATTTGCGATAATGATCCCTTCATTCGGTACATATAGCAATAATACCTAATTATATCACAGAAGAACTCACACAGCATCATCTAGTATCATCTCTCTTTATTCTTTTGTAAATACATACATAACATACATAAAAACCACCAGAGTGATACGAATAATCATACTCTTGAAAACAAATATTTCAAGAAGAGGAATCGAACCCACAATCATCGGAAGGCGGTGTGCTAAGCCGCTAGAACACAGAGACGTCAATATGTATAAAATATATATATAAAATTATATCTGTACGAATATTTATATCGTATTCTAATTATAATTATGTTAAAATCAAGAATATTTCTACTTACTGATTGGGGCAATCGCTACAGGTTTCCATGTATCTCGTATCAGTGAAGTTGGTGTCGGGGTGTTTGAAGGATAGCGCACATTTATTCGGCAAATTGCACGGCGCCTCCGGCAGATCCTTCTTGTCACACCGCCACGGTTCATAGTTATTCAGTGACTTTACTGGCCGAGGATCCGTTATCCAGGTTAGACCTTGAGTTACTGTCACGAACCATACGTCTTCTCTGTAAGCAAAAAAATAATATGTGATCATAAATCACAAGGAAACACTGCAGAACCTGAAACATATCATGATTAATAGATGTTAGAAACAAACAATATTTTACTTTATATAAATGCCGATAATATCCAATATCTAGTAACGAAATGAGAAATGTCAATATTAACTATGTATACACATTACATATATCCATTTAAAGAAAGGCATAATCAGGATACAGTATGTAGTTACCTAAAATTAGAAATAGAAATATGTAGGACGATCTCAAAAGAATCTTATTTTGTGTTATAAGCAACTGAACGTCATAACGACTGTAAGGATTTCAATTTATTTAAAATTATTATTGATTAAAGACAAATATACAAAGAACTTTTTAGCAATAAACCTTTCTCTAGTCTTCATTAAATAACAGGTCAAAGTATCATCAAAATCGGAAGAATGGTTTCGAAACATATAGAGGATAGTCATATTTATTATAAATTAACGAAAATATTATACTAAATTTATTCACAAGACTTAATTTGTGAATAAATTTACAAATTACGTCATACCACTTTGTATGTCAGTATGAGCGTAGAACAGTCCACAGTCCGAGCACAATAGTAGATTAATTAATTATTAGCTTTTTTTTATTTGTCATCACATTTCATTAGATATTTGTAGTTGACAAAACATGTATTTATAAATTACTTTTAAAAACTTGGCTTAAATGACAATAAATAGTAAAAACATAGAATATTTACTATTCATTGTCATTTAAGCCTAAATCATACAAATAATAAATGTATTTAATTATATTAGAAGTATGTAGGTATTGTTTCACCTTGAGTTTTTTTGTCCTGAGATATTTATACAACGTGAACGAATTCGCTTTGCTCTAATTGTATCGAATAAACCTTGTACTGTAGGTATAAGTACAAACTAGAATTTATCTTTCTAGAGTTCTAATTACGATGTAAGGGTAGAACTTTCTTCGTCCACGACATCACGACTAGATGTTCCAACTTAGCTTAACTACTTCACAACATTGAATCAACTAGGTGTACGCTTTGTTGCTGTGTACTATATACTACACAAATATATTTCCATTGTTCTGTTACATTGTTTAAGCTAGTCTTTGTTAGTGGTATGAGTAAATAGTAAAACTGGTATTGTCAACTGAAATATGAACAAATAAAGTTAGTAGAAGCAAAGTGGAATACAAACGGACCATAGCTACTATTTCGGGTGCATGTTAAATTTAATTATATGTTACTTTGAGTGAATATATACGTCATATGTTACAACAAACAAGGGCTTTGTTTTCTTCTTGTACAGAGAAAAATGCAAATACAAATACCTACAATGCATTTGGTCAGCACAATACTTTCAGTGTAAAATATACCTACATGTTACACAGTAATTATTCAACGTTATGTAGTTGTTTTTTATTACACAATCTAATATCCTAAACCAAGAAGACAGCCACATAATACTTCACAAAGCCCTCAAAAGTTGCGGAATTATTATAATTCTATAAAATTTTCTAATTTTCGATTTAAACTGTAAATTGCTATACTGATAACAGATAATATACAATCTATCTATTGACAAAAAGATATATATTAGGTTTTTCCATATTGCACGTAATACTCTATTGTCTTTTTCTTCATCGATACGTTTCCGACGGAATGGTTGTCACTGCTTTAATTTCGTAAATGGAGTATGGTCCTATTCATTTGTAAAATTTTCTTTGTTTTACGACAAAATAAAACAAGAACATCTGTCTCCTTACCTACAATACCCATGGGTATTTCATGTCAGCATAATTGTTACAAATAGCGACATATATGTATTACAACAAAACGAAGCTGATATCACAATTAGAGTGGACCCGAATACAGAAGACAAAACATAAAAAATATTTCATTTTATCTGCTGTAATAAATATTGTCCTACAAATAATTTTACTGTATCTGTATTGCTAAACAAAAAACCTTTCAAAGCTTATCTGTGATGAATTCGATATTTGTAAAAAACGCGTGTAATGAGTTGATGTTTGTCTTATATTACAATATTTATATCTATTGTAAGGGATTTAATTTAATTTAACGATGCTCATTAGAAAATTTATTTTGAATTTATAAAATTAAACGCACAAATATCATTATCAATAACACCATAATGACGTAGAAAATCACGTGCATGTAATTAAAATAATCTATGCACTGTGCAGGTATTTACCCGCAGGCAGATCTGATTATGTTACAGTTTATTGAATAACCAGATCTAGTAATATTTTATGTCCATTAAATGTAAATACGGACACGTAAAACCACTGACCATTTGCGAATTACATTCAAATTTTACACAAAGTAGTAAAATTATCCAATACTCATTTATTACTCAGTCGTCTGCGTGGGTACCTCAGTCTCGCCTATTTCAGCTGCCAAGCAGATTGTGTTGTAAAATGTGTTTCAATTGAAAGATAAGATAAGGCAGAGAAATTATAGAACAAGACATGACATCTCAAACCTCAGGAATAGCATAAGTGATATCAAATATCTGTATTCTTAAATACCCATTCATACATAATATTAAATGCGAAAGTGTACCTACGTGTCTCTCTGTTTATCTGTCGCCTCTACATGGTTAAAACGCTGAACGGAACTTAGTAAACTAGTGTATATTAATTTTAATTAATTATATAAATTGATTTACCATAAAAAAATATTCTGCTGTACAACAGCGGCTACTGAATATGGCTACATATTACAAATCTTAATGAAAATTTACATAAAAAGTTCCTATGACAAAGGCGGATATAGGCTACCTTTACTCTCTAAAATCTAAATAGTAAATGAAGTGGCGGGTAACAGGTAGAGATCCATAAAATAAATATTTCCAAGACAATACTCACAAACCAGATACCCATTGTAGGAACTTGTGTAGCCCCCTCTCGAGTGCTTTTATCTGGAACCAGTTGGTATGGAACGGCATCATATACGGCGCTCGATTCTGTTCATAGTACCGGTTGAAATCCTCCTGCAGCCATTCTAATACCTGCATGATATATTATTAATATTATTACCAATTGTATATTAAATGAATATTTTAGTACAACAGTACACTTTTTGAAAAGGTATCTAATGGAAAGGTATCGATGCTCCGAAAGGTGGATGCGATTTGAAGGGTGAAATATAGCCCTGATTTTTTTTATTCCTAGATGCCGTAATGTAAATTTATAGAATGCCGTCTAGTCCCAAGCTAAGTAGAGGTCGTGTTATAGGTAGGTACTGGACATCTGTTATATGTACTTAAATACATTTCTTTGAAAATACATACGTAACATAGAAAACACCCAGGTCAAACAAACAATCAATCTGAACTAGACGGTAAAAAAATATCAAATCCGCACTAGCAGGAAACAAAAAAAATATTATTTTTATAAACGACGACTTGTTTATACAACAAATATAAATAGGTATTCGAAAGCAAATTTTCGATATTCGTTTGTGAGTATATACGATTGTAACGTTCCCCCCTTTCCTAATAAAACAACTCTACGATACCCTCTCTAAATATGCGAGGATCAGCTAAATATAATAGATCATATACGCAATGGAACACTTAATCTTTAATCATTTGGCCATATAATTAAATTATTGTGATCGTATAGTATCGGTGGACCCGTTGTGTATATGTAGTAACTATAGATTCTTTTATTGGTATATGATGGAGTAATAACTGCGAGATAAATACATATCTCAATAATACAAATTATGATACAGAGTATGTGTTATGAATATTAATTATAAGGTATATATTTGAATCATTGAACCATTATGGTTTTAATAAATAAGGTGGGATATGCAAGGTAGGGTTGCAATACGCACCATTTGAAAGTGAAATGGGATGAGTATTCTCAGCACCAAAACAAAATTAATTTATATTATTAATTCAACATTACAAGTGGTTTCACCAAGCTTGCGATGCTTAAAGCAGGTAGATAAAATATAGTTGCCATAGGCAGATCGAAACTGAATTCAGGATCACTCACGACACAGAAGCTTACTTATGGATATTGACTCCTTCGGTTCTATGTGGCGATAGAGAGACTGTCAAAGAGACTGCCCGATCTCGAAACTAAATCCCAGCATCACTCGGTCACGTAGCTTACTTAATGGGGAATACCCTTCGGCTATATATAATGTGACATTGGAGATCAGACTGAAGATACAGTACGAGTCGTAACAGAAACTAGGAGGTCAATCAAATACCAGAACTTACTAATGGATAATCCTTTCGGCCCTATAATGTGACATTGGAGATCACCAGTAATTGCAGTACGATAAATAATAATAATAGAGTAGTGTGATAGCTCAATGCCATCAACACCACAATATTGGTCAATCCAATATATAATGTTGATAATTGCTATATTACAAACATAGCATATAAAGTTTATAAATTTACTTAATACCAAGAATACTCAAGGAATTAAGAATTAGATATTTGTGAATAAGAGCTGGGCTCTAATATGATTGATTATATGTAAATTAGAATTACTTGCATGGCGAAGTAATCTTTATATTGATGAGATATTATAAGCGAGAACTATAAGTTCCATATCTGAAAATAAATGTCTGGATGCTCCACATAAAGAATCAACCAGAAGGTAATGTTTAGTTTGTAGAAGGACTGCATGTCCTGATATAGTAATCAGTAGAATTTGATTAATCACATAGTGAAATAATCATAATAATATAAATAATAGTGACAGAGGTCTGTGACCTGGATGATTGTTATGTATAGACAACCACTAGGTGGATAGTCGATATGATAGAGGACCGGAGTCCTGGATATAAAAGCCAAGGCTTGGTAATTGATAAACTGTTTAGCCATAAAATGGATAGTCATAAAATATATTTTCATTGAGGACCGAAGCCCATAGATGTGATTATGTGTATGTATTTATATTTATATATGTATGTATTTATATTTATATATGTATGTATATATACACATATAATATGTATATATAAATTAAAGGACTAAGAGTCCTAATATTATTACACTGAATATTTACGCTCAAGTAATTAGTATTTATTATTAAGGCCAAAGACCTTAAAATAAACCTTTATTTTATTGAATTGACTGGAACAAGAAGAATAATATTAAATATATTAATTAATAAAGAACCGAAGTTCCTTAGAATTGATTGTAGAATAAAATGTAATATTATTATTACCGATATCTATATGTATATGGTTGGTCTTGTATTTCAATATATTCAAAATTATATAATAATTTTGATAATGCATCGCCCACATGAATCCGATTGCCCAATGGGTGATTGATAGGAATGACTGGAGATGTTAAGATCCCATGTCTTATTTATAGTTAGTTTATATATTATTACATTGTAGTTTTATTAAATAAGAAACAATATAGTCTTATTATAATACTGGCTTAATTAGCAATTATACTTTATATGTACATGTTTATTAAACCCACTAGTTATGATGACGATTAGCCTTCATACCGGCCACTGATGATTCAGGGAGAGAACCACAAGTGGTGCCCGAGACTTGTGACTCGGGTGTAGGTTTAAGAGCTCTTTTAGAATGCATTAACACTCACCTTCACCACTTCTGGAAACCTCCCAGAATTCATCTAATAAACCTCCCAATGCCTACAATATTCACAGTTACATATATATTAATGTAATCTCTTACAACCCTAATTATTAATTTATGCTATTCATATAAAATATATTCAACATAAAGGTTGTTACAAAATTAAGTGCATATACACTTAATATTACTAATCTCAATGTGGTGATCTAATAAATGCATTCTTATACTTCAATATAATAATTCTATATTATAATTTAGCAATTCCTTTATTTATGAAATGCAAGATATATCTATAAGGAAGTCATAGTGAACCGCATTGCTATTGCTTCTGCTGGTTAATATAATTATATTCAATGGTTAATTCGTCTATTAATTACTTATTTAATTTGTGCAGTGTATAATAAGTTGTAATATAATAAATATAATGCGTCCTAAACTTTACTCACACAATGCTGCATATCCAGAGTAGCAATATATCTCTATATTGATACACCAGCCATACAACATGCATACGATAAAACTTAGGGTGTGTCCTAGATAACCACTCAGTTATCAACTAAACAGAAATCCCTATTGGTTGTAGAAATCTCCACAGGGATCGTGGTCTAAAACCTTCATTACGAGCTTTGACCCATCTCTCCTCAAATGATGGAACATGTGACTTCATCATAAATTCATCGATCTGAGCCTCTCTCTCCTCCTGATGAAAAACTTCCACAACCTATTTATTATAACTTCATTTACTTGCTAAAGTCTCCATAGAGATTTACGGTTCACATTTGATCATCATAAATTATTGGAAAATGTTACTTCAATAGTTTATTCATCGATACAAACATTTGCCTCCTTCTAATAAAGCCTTCAGCAAAAATATATATAAGACTCAAGGATCTTCCTCTCACTACATCTTCCGTTACAATACCCATGGTAATGTAATACATATTCGAAATAGTAAACGTAATTTACTATCCCAAACAAGGAACACCACACAGCAAGACATTTAGTGTGAATAATGAAATATTTGAAATAAGTAATAAATAGTTGAAATAAGTGAATGAAATATTTATTTTTGATAAGTAACTGAACTATTATTAGCCATCATTATAAGTATAATAGGGTTTTACTATAACTTCCTTAATTTACTTTTAGTTTAGTCGTAGTAAATTTATTATTAATATAATTCTCATATAAAATATCAGAGTTATCAACAACTGTTAAAAAACAGAATTACATTCATTAGCATCTAACGAGTAAATATACACATTTAATATTAAACTCCTAACCTTTTAACCTAACTAAAGAAAATAAATCAATATAACTCAGATTTAGGTACAAATTGAGACTATTATCGTAATATAAGAAAGACACAAATAAACCATGCTCGTTAAATTTTATATTATAAGTAATTAAACTAAATCAATGTATTCGTCAACATATTAATTCCACGCAAATCATAAAATAAATAAACACATGTACATTTCCTAATTAACTTGGCAGTTTATCTAACATATCCCAATAATACAGTCAAATGATAACAGACATACAGTATATTATGAGCACAATAAATAAAGTGAAAGAATTAAAATGACTTACCAATATGTTGACAAGAACGGATATTAAAGTATTAAAATCACTTACTAAAATCTCCTTATTTACGAATAGTAAAAGAGTTAAATATACACTTGTTACTCCTACGGAAGCTCGCCGACGACTAAACTTTCTTTTGATCCTTCCTCACAATTCTACCAATTTTGGTCTTGCCAAATATATATATATATATCTAAACATAACTCAACGTGAGAACTTCGTTCTTATGCAGTTCACACTAATTATACAGGATGATTTTTAAATTTATTTTGTAACACTTTTATTTATCCTAAATTTTATTTTGTTTTTCAAATATTTTTCCTATATAAATTATAAATAACCATTTACCGAGTTTACATAATATATTTACTTGTTTATTCATTTAATGTTGATATAACTTTATAATAAATTGCAAACACATATATAATATGTAATTAATATTAAAGTCTGCAATAAAAATAAAAATGTAATTTATAATTTACTTAATAAATCATTATAATTAGATAAACGTTAGTATTCATATATAAACGCTCATTCTGTTGATACTATTATTTTACATACTGTGTTTTTATGAAATTCTAATAAATTCCTTTCTATTATCAAAACCTGAACTAATGTTTCAATACAATTAATTCCTTAAAAGTCGTTTTCTATTTATCTATTTAAATCATGATCTCTTACAACGTAGTAAATTGGAACATCCTATGTATGCATGTCGGCTTTCTTTTGTTAAACACAAAGGATGCCGTTCTATTGTCCTATTTGCTAGTAAATATGTTTACAGAAAAATATTTAACAGTTCTTAATAGTTTTGTTTTTAACACACGTGTAATATCTGTAGATAGTGTGTTTGTCGGCCTTCTTTTTGACGAACACAAAAGGATGCCGCCCTATTGTCTTTTCTGCTAGTAACCATGTTTACATATATGCATTTAACAATTTTTAATGGCTTTATTTTGATACACATGTTATACCTATAGATAGTTATAGCGAACTATCCTTTTTCTGGTGTTGAAAGCTAAATACACAATATTGATTTTATTTAATATTTTGTACTATTTTACATATAACTTATTTTATGTATTTTATTTATCAAATAAGACGATGCTTCTACTACAATTATTTTGTCAATTAAATAACGGAATATATGCTAATTTATTCTATGTTTAGTTATCAAATACAATTTTTGAAGTGAATATTTTTAATATGTACATTTTTATTGTTATTTCCTTTTATCGCCCATTTTATGCAAAATATGACGTAAAACTAAAATGAGTACTAGGCGAACCGTCACAGTCGACCCCCTAATTATCATGGAGTTTATCAGAATGATAATTACATTAAAATTATCTACTAATAACTATTTCTTTCTTTCGTTTTGTTTGTTTTAAACAATTATTATTATTATTTTCTTTTATCATAATTTTATAAAATATATGGTGTTAACTAAAATGAATACCAGGCGAACCGTCACACGATGTAATATCATCAAATTAATATACAATGTGACCATTAAGGAAATTTGTCATGGCAAAACATCCCATTATGAAATCAAAAAGTTGAACAAACGCTAACGAGAGTAACCAAGAGAGTGCCAGAAGTGCACAAAACACGCTTCGATTTTTTTTAATGGGCTTCTATCGCTTTCATTATTTTGCTTATTATACATAATCTAGCCATGAATGTATATTATAATCAATTTTAAAAATATAAAAGTATGTATTTAAAACTTAGTTTTTCTATAATATTGATAGTGAATATATAAAAACAATTTTGAATATTATTCAAAATTCTTGTTATTTTAGAATTAAACTATTATATATATTTAAAAATTTTACTATATTGGTATTTTTTAAACATAAGCAAAATTATGTGAATATTACAAAATGTGTGAAATAAGTAAGAACTTTACTTACTCCCATATATCTACTTTTAAATGACTTACCTCATCAGAATCGTGATTGTGAAGAACACATTGATCCAAATAGGGACAATGGCCACCTTCAAAAGACTCCACGTAATGAGCATTGAAAGGCACCTCCCACAGTCCTTAAACAAACCAGATTTTTTTAAGTTTATTACAGTGTCATCTACTTCATAAACTCCTATACTTTGCACGGGTAACCCAAACTCTCAACAGACACTTTGCTTCGCTAGAAGCATTCCTACTCTATGGATGAAACTGAGTTAAACTTTGTACGAAGTCTTTTGCGAGGATATCTTTGTCGCACCTATTTCAGCAGACAAGCAGCTCCCTTTGAAGCTGTGTTTCTATTAAGGGATAAAAATATGGCAGTCAAATTACTGAATCCGGGGTCTTAACAATTTGTCCTCAAGAATAGTAAAGCATGACCATAGTTACCACAGATAAGGTATATTACCATTTACCACTTACCATCAGGTCAGCTTTATTAACATTCCAGTCATAAAAACACCACCACTAATACTGTAACTTTTAATAAAGATAATGAAATTTATTTTTATTTCCCAGGCCAGGTTTTACGGCAATGCCTGTAGTTTCTAATTACATTACACAGAAGGTTTTTTGAATAATAAAGCTCTGTTTAAGAATACCTTAAAAATGTCGTCCTGGAACTTCATAATTTTATTATGAAGTTGTACAAACGAGCAATTATGGAGTTCCCTTCTTTCTTGTTTAATCAAGTTTCAGTTTAATTATTTTATATAATAAAAACTTTTTTTAAATTAGTTTTGTGATACCAATTTTCAGGTTAGGAAAGTCAATTTGCAATGGGTAAATCAAACACCATATAACATTTTTTATATTAAGTTTCCTTCATACAAACTCTATCTGTTTAGAATACTAAAATATTATGTATACTATAATAATATATATATACAAAATATACATCGATTATGATATGTGACAAAACATAAAACAAAGTTATCTCCATACATTTAATATATTTTCTCAGAATCAATTAATATAAAAAGTACTTGAACAAAAATAATATTTAAATCTAATTTTATTACACTATACATTGATATGTATCTATGCTGAAAGCATAGCAAATTTAAAGTAAGTCCCTAAGCATAAAATGATATAGAGCACAATATACATAGAGCTTTAATAGTATCTATATCGAACCAGCTAAGTGAACCGTTCATCGAAGTGAAACGCGTAAATCTTAAGGGAAGCCTGATTTTACTTTTACTCACCGGGAAAAGATTTGGTAGGGCATGTTCCCGACTTGCACTCGTGAGCGATCTTGTAGTCGAGCGTGTACGGCCAGACAGGGATCGGCAGGGGAGGCACGCCCACCGAACTGTCGTATATGTAACCGAAATCTTCTAAAACCTGTGAAATTGAAAAATGTTACAAAAGGATAGAAATAATTATACATATGTATATATATGTTTATAAAGGGTATACAGTAAAACTTATATATAATAAAGAAGAATTCTTTTATTACTACTAATTTAATTTAATCTGCTAATATGCGTAGCTTCGTTTGCATGATATAAGAGAAAGAAAGCTCTCTTAACGAATTATTTTTTCCTTATTTTTGCAAAATTTTTCATTCGTACTCCGTGCCTTTTAATCCTACTATAAATGGGTTATTTAACTATATACTATTTTTTTTTTAATTCTAGTTAATACTTTTTTTTAATATTTATTGTATTTTGAACTAGGATTAACGAAACATTTATTTAAAACTTGCTCGTTTAGTATACATTGTTGTAATAATAAATAGTTAATCGGGTTTTAACACGAATAATCTTATAGTAAATAATAGTATTTACCTCTCTCGACATTTTGACTAGATTGCACTAGCCGTGGTCACGAGTTACTGGAGTAATAAAATTATTCGTATTGAAACCCGTTTGTCTATATTATTAATAGGATTAGCACGTTCAAGTAAACAAATGAACTCTTCAGCATATTAGTAGATATACATTTATAATGAATCAATTCAACAGAAACTTAGCTTATTTTATATGTTACCTATATCTCGTTTTGTTAACACATAGTCTCTTTTTTATTTAAGAAGAATTCAATATCCCTATAATATACCCGCGCTGAGTTAATCTGGATGTATAGTGTTTCTGTATATATAACCTTGAACATACAGTTCTAAATTATTATAAGTAAGATAGTGTAGAATATTTAGTAATACATATATTAGACCTATTATTAATATCCTTGGGGCCAATTTTAACAAGACCCAAAACTAATACCTGTATGCTCAGTTAATAACATGTTGTGAATATTTTCTTAGAATTATTCTACTATTCGATCTGTATCTACCTAAATTATTACAATGTTTTAATGAAGTAGTTGTACGTTATTATTATTACAAGGTTTCGTCTGTTACCTAGTAATTAATCATGTTAATATATAATAATATAATAGTGAGTATTTATACTTTTAATTTACTGAAACAAATTTTATAGTTTTTATTATTAATTTATCCATATAATTTTCAAAAATCACGATAACATTGTTTAATAATTTTCCAAATATGAGGAGATGAACATAACTATGCTTTTAGTAAGTATTTTTTTACACACAATTTTTTAAATTTAGAAACTCCGAACCTATACCATCAACCTATACATATAAACAGAAAACTTTATTTAGTCATATTTTTTTACAGTCGACCAAATTTAGCTATAAAAATGCTGATAGTCGTTGCTTCATCCAGTTGGGCTGGCTAGCTGCCAATCTCAAGGGATGAATCAACCACGGGTATCGTGTAGCCCGCAAAGGGGTACATATTATGATTATAAACACAGTCTATATTTTACTGGAGTCGAACAAAATTGTATTCAATATATAATAACGAAAGACACTAAAGAGTTATAATTATGTAACTCTGACGAAAAAAGTCTATTTCACGCTAGAAGTTATCACAAAATGGGTAAAACTACTGCAGTAACGCATGTTGGAATCGCGTGTGTTCACGCAGATTCGAGATACATTACGGTGCGGCTGGACCAGACAGTTTAAACAAAATGATTGCAAATTACGATTGTAACAGAAAAGACAAAATCTGTTAACTTATATTTTAAAATAATAGATTTATCAACATGTACTTTGTAAAAAATATATAGTTAATGTTATGTCCTCCATTCCAGACGACCCGATTTCATAGAATGAGATACGCGTGAGGTTGAACATACTCACCTATACCTTTTGATAAGACGCACCTACACATCACATTACTCTCCACACAAACGAATGGACATCCACATATAGATCAAACAAGGTGCGAATGTATATTATTAATACTATAAACTTTTGGTAACTATGTCCCGGTAAATAAACTTAGCATTACTAAAACAGGTGTAATAAACGTGAGCAGACCAATCCCCTGCGCCGTACCTACATGACCCTACGCGGAGTTTAAATTAACGTTGATTGCTTAATTTATCACCCACGCGGGTAAACGAGCTAGCACAGAGAAACTAATCGATAGACGTAAATTTGAACGAGAATAGGCCCAGTTGGTTCCCATACGCAGCTGCATCCGTCATTCATTCGACGAGTTTGCCAGCGGTAAGATAAATTTGAATTTTACTACTAAATTGACTCCAACAGTGTCCAATATTATTTCCATTTCAAAGCAGCTGCGTCAATCTACGGACCTAGTACCTGCATATAGATTATGGTTGTATTTCAGTATATTATCTCACAATATTATATATTAGTGATATATCTTTTCAATATTGTAACCACTGATAATCGTTTTTAATTCAAGAAAAGACAGACAATGAACAGACAGACTACCACACTTTCGAATTTGTAATATTAGAATATTACGATTTGTAGGACTAAGAGTGAACTGAGAGTAGTTAATATCTTAATCGCATTACATTTTTAGATTATATATATGAAGAAATCGGTGAAAATACAAAAAAATACTCAGAAATATAATAATTACATTACTAGTTTTACCGACTATTATGACATAATAACTGTACCTTGAATTGTGTATTCCGTCCAGGCTTTAAGAAAGGTGCACGGGCACCCACCACATCTGTGCGGGAGACGTTAGCGAACCGGCGCAGTATCTCCCGCATACCTATCATCTCGCCGGCCCATTCCTCATAGCCTTTATCTTGGAGCCCTTGTTGTTGCGACACGGTGCCAGTTGCAATCTGAAAACAACTTGAAATATAAATACCGTAATGGAAATCTTCTTTGTCCGTATTGAATTTAATTTTCTTCTTATATACACAATTGTTTTTGTGTACTTCATCTCTCTCCATGAAATATGCATAGTCTACTGTGAACCAATGTAACCAGGATTAGTTAATAATTATATTTAAAGATTTTCCTATTTGCAGTACTATATTATACTATCTTAATTTTTTTCCTTACTCTTCTTATAAAAAGCAATTTACACACGATATTAGTCCACTAGGACGCGGACGCTCCACTATTTTTATTTTCATCAGATCTATTATAATCATATTCGTATACTTAATATGAACCACCTCTGCATTTTAGAATACAAAAAGTCTAAGAAAATTAATGTTTCTTTTTTTGTAATTTCATATTAATAAACTTCGTGCTTTTATCATTTAGCTTGCGCTGGGTATAATTATTTTATTCTTTTATATACATATTTCAATCAATACAATTATATCCTTGAATACATTATTAAACGCATGGTGAATTTTTAATACTATGAAATATATTATTTTCATAATTTTACAATCCCAAGAGAGAGTAACTTAAGATGGAGTCATTAAGTATTATCAAAATATTGTCAAGACCGCTTTCTATTTGCAATAATATAACACTTTTGTGAATATAGACTATAGATAACAGACTTATAATAATGAGGGTACAAGATGCAGGTGCTCGATAGATTACCGCCTGCGTCTAGACTAATCAGCTTATTGCCGTCTCCTCATCCCACTCACATTTTATTTGCTTTAATATATTTATAATGTTATGTATAAATAAAATTTGAATAGAAAGAATAACAGAATTAGCCACGTAACCGCTTACGTTCGTTAATCACCTAGCTATGTAAAAATAAATTACAGTCACTTACCTCATGACCATCGTGAGCGAGTGCTTGAACCATGGCATAATTGCTAAAATTAAAACATTTTTTTAATACTTAAAAGTGAATAACAATATTTACATGTACTGTTTAATTGCCTATATTTCAAATAATAATATGTAGTTAATACAACGATATAAAAAGTTAATATGATTAAGTCTTTATCCCAGAAAAATAATCTTCAATATTAAAAAGTGTACAACCAGCTATAGAAAAACTCTGCAGGTAGCGAGAATTTTATTCCATCCCAATAAATGCGATAAATATATAAAACGAGATAGAGTATATAAAAAGTCAATTGGGTTTATTTATACTAGGATGGTGGTGGCTATCAAGCATACGGCCCATCTGATGGTAAATAGTTACCGTAGCCTATGAACGCCTGCAGCCACCAAGCAGCTTATTTTATAAGCTGTGTTACGGTTGTAGGGCTACACAGTGAAATTACAGAATAAAAGGCTTGCCATATGCCTTGGTCTTCTGGAGTGGCAACGGTGGAGTTGAATCACGGGTGCCACATAACATGATGTTCATAGTAAGCTAAATACCGTAATATAATCTTTTTTAAATAAATAATAGGTAGATAGATTTCTTTATTTATCTAAAGCTGATGTACAAAATACTTAATTACCTGTACTCGTGCGACAAGAAGAAAGTCCCTCTGATAGGGCAACCATTTGGATTCTTTATCTTTCCATTAAAAACTTTCTTGTATAATTCAAAATTATTCAAGTTGACGGCACCATCAAATGTCAACATAATTAGTTGAGGCGTCTGTGAATAGGAATAAGAATGTTTAATACTGGGTGTGCGATTGTAGTCCGCGGGACCGCGACATATTAATAGAAATACTATGTACTTGTATGGCAAACGAAATTACAGATTATATGGTAACGATAGATAATAAACAAATAAATAATATTTAAATAAACAAACCAAGTTTATAATATTTTTATAATCACTCGCATACTTTATTTTAATGTCCTAATAAATATATATAATAAAAAAATCAATTCTAAAATAAAAATCAGTGTGAAAAATCTAACAATTTACTCTTAAATGGAATAACCAATTAAAAAATATGTAAAATATATAATAAAGAAATTTGAAGCCTGAAAGCACTTTTCACGTCCTATTACATCAAGAAAAGTTCAAATAAATATTTAACTAGCAGTTAACTATATTTACATTAGTAAACTAGATATATATATTTAGGGATAGATAATATTCATACAAAGTAACACATATAATAAAAATATTAGGGATGGACAACCCTTGTCACTATATGAAAAATCGATAGTAGCCAATTCTCAGACCTACTAAATACGCATATAAAATTTCATAAAATCGGTCCAGTCATTTCGGAGGATTATGATATATACATATATGTATATAACTAACATTGTGACACGAGAATTTTATACAAAAGATTTTTATAAGTAGGTATATATACACATTGTTAACGCAGTTTTATAATATATTTATTTGAAAATAGTGGCATCAGAGCAGTTTTGTAACAATTAATAGATAGGTACTATTAAATATTAACATAAATATGCACACCGTTATATTACGTATATTACCATATTTGTAATCAAGTTCGTAGGTAGCTATAAATGAATTTGTTATCTAACAGTGGGCAGGGAATCCGCCTTAAAAGCACCTTCAAATTGACTATTAAAAGGGAACTCGGGATAAAACCACGGTTGAGTGGACAGCCGTTAAACTAGTTAATAATGGATACTACTTACCTCCTCTGGATCGAGACCGCCAGGGATGAGAGTGCCATCTTTGGAGCAAAAGCAATATGGGAGTTGACATGCAGCAGGGTCGCATTTGGTTGCTAAGTCTAGGGGTGCCTCTGTGATAGGAGCTGGGGCTGAAATAATTTCATTTTTTTTTTATATATACATAATGTACATAGAAGATACCCAGATCACACACAAACAGTCATATCATTAATACAAATGTTTGTATCGTGTAAGGAATCCAACCTTCCATCATCAGAACTAAGGCGGTGTACTAAACCATTAGACTGCACACGTCGTCAAATAGAGAGTAACTTTTAATACGATTTGAAGGTAACATACACAGATATAAAAATATTTTATTTTGTATAATTGAGAAATAAAATGATACAATAAAGACTGGCTTATCGAATGATATTGTAATTACTTCAGGAAGTAATAAATTCTAAGAAATGAGCACCACAACTGAATGTAATCGTATTGGTAGTGGCACAACTAAACCTATTTCAAACAATCTTCCAGTAAAGAAAATAAGCTATTTTTGAACAAGACAGACAGTAAGTATCTGTTTGTTCATAACAGAATATCAAGCACAATAATCACAAGCATAGCTGTGGTGACAGCTAGATTAGGCCAAAATAATTGTTACTTCTACAATCTTCTTATCGGCTTAAATGTTTTCAAATAAACTGCTTTGGAATTCAATACCTCGTACTTATCCCTTTCTCAATATAAATTCTTTCCCACTTTGCATTATGTAATACCTACTAACCCTTTTGGTTTTACTATAAACTGGAAATTGGATATTATTGGGGTTAGCAATACATAAATTATTCATGTTTTTCATACCACCTGTGAGTATGGATAAAAGGAATCCACTATTTCAACTACATACAGAAAGGACTAAATTCATTAGAGGGTGGTGTCTGCACAAATAAAGATTTCAATCTATTCAGAAAATAGTTCGAATCATTATAATTTTAGAGACTTCGAAGTTTATAACTATTCCGTCGCACTCAACGCAGTATAAATAAAGCAATGAGAAAAGTCTATTATTGTATCTATTAACACAGGTCGAAGGATAAGAAATAGATTATAGACTATTCGTGATTCATAAATAATGTAGGTAAGTTCTATCTCTTCTCTATTCCAGCTTTTATTGTTCCTCTGCTGGACGTATACCTCTTGCATAATTTTCCCCTTTGTTCGATCTGTAGCGCATCATTTCCAGGTCGGCCATGCCGCCTTTTGATCTGACCATCTGGCAGTTGGTCTGCATCGTAAGTCATCACATGAAAGACACACACATCGTAGAAATTTGTGACATACTAATCTCTAATGTGATGACCATCTGTCTCTGATTCGACATATGACGGGCCCAACGCAACTTTAGTTGGTCAGATGTCGGTAACTAATATAAATTAATTTGTAATTATTTTTCCCTTTATTTCATCCACGTTTCTAAGATGAGTTCTGCAATATGTCGATTGACTAGTATTAACAATGTCGTTTTCGGAATTTAAGACTACAAACATCTTCTATGAATGGTTATCACATTATTTATTGTGTATATTATTGTTGGCATACTATTACATATAGTCCTGTAAAATCATTTAGTACCCGTTTAACACTCTACCGCGTTTGGCTCACCAATAACACAGTACCAATCAGCCTCAATATTGTATACAAGTATGTAATATTATATTATCTGTGATACAAATATTTCTTAGTACTTTTCTATGCTATGACATCATGTATTCTGTATAAAATTGTAGTCATACTATAACATACATTCCTGGAAAATTATTTACTATCCGTGAAACAGTTTACCGCGTTTGGCTTACGATTAACACAGTACCAATCAGCCTCAATAAGGTATACAAGTATTTCTTAGTAACAATCTACCGGTATTGTTTGTTACTACGAAGAAGTGATGATGCTATTTACTAATTACTGTTGATTATATTGTAGGGTTACTTATTTTTTCTTTCTGCGACGTAACATATATATTTTTATTGTCTCATATCAACTTGTAGTTACAACAATGACAATTCTCTAATACCACAACAACTCAGCTCACTTCTCACCTTTATTAGGTGTCGTATCGTTTACCTACTTTGTGAACTGTGTTACGGTTAAGATATGATAGTTAAATTATAGGGTATATGACGGTACATGAATACGGTACAACAGTACGGAAACATGACAACTGAATCTTCCAAAGTGGCATTGCGTGAGGGGTACCACAAATATTACCTGATTCATGTATACCTATTTGCTACTTATCATCAGGTAGTCCATCGGCTTCTTTGCCATTCCTGTTACAAAAAAAATTAACACTACTCTCTCATATGGGATTACAGTGACAATTGTTATATGTTTAAAGACATAAATTGAATATAAAATGTATTAATGCTTACTTGTCGCAATAGGGCCACATCTGGCTTCGGCTTTAAATGTACAGTACTTGCTAATATCGTCGAAATAGAGTCCGGAGGGACATCTATTCAAATAAGGATACCCGTCGACACACTGAAACGATAGTTAAATGAATAATTAGACATGTTTAGATGGTATCCAATATATTCAAGGGTTACTTATAAATATTGATTTAGAGAACAAACGAAACCAATATCTAACCACACTGGAAATTAATCAAGAGTACATACGTTTTAGTCGAACGAATTACACCTACTTGTAGGACGTTATTAAATATAAATTAGTAACTTATCAAAACAATATTATCGGGGTTTTAATTATATTGATCTTATTCAGTATCTTTAGTTGTAATTTTTAAAAAGTGTTAAAAAAACAAGTGCATTTAATCGACTAAATTCTTTGTAGGTATAGAAGGCAATCAAGAAGCGTATAAAATATATAAATCCTACTATATATAAATATATTCTTTAATATAAAATTAAGCTTTTCATTTCGTTTTAGAACATTTGTTGAAAAACATCATTAGATATAAATGAAGAGATAATACAAGATTTTATCGTTAATGGAATAGGAAAGAAAAGAACAAATATTTTTAATCGGTACACAACTTTTTACATATTTATAATCAATATATACGTTTATATAAGAACTACAACCACATATAACTACAAAATAAAACAGGTCGATGTATAAGTTATACGCTGCTCGCGTCTACTACAAGTAATACTAATACTACTAATTTTGTAATAAAGTAATGGTGTCTTTTGTAGCAAAATAAGTAAAAATAGTTCTATCATGTTTCAAAATATTTGCCAATTATTGCTATCATTAATTATTATCAATTTGTTAAACTATATACATTAATAAATAGGTAGATACTTAAAAATGAACAATAAAAGAACTTGTTGAAATATCAACTTATATTTATATAGGTACATAATTATAATAATTGCAAATTGTTATAAGAATTTCTGGAATGTTCTGTCATCAACCGTAATTTGTAGTTTAAACACGTTTGTGTGAGTAAATGACCTTGCTATAACTTTTAACTTGCTGTATGTCTCGTATAAGGTCTCTAAGGGAATATTACACTACCACGTTTATGTCATTATACACGTAAATTGATATATAAGGTAGAAATTAGTTGTAGTCTTCAGCGGGACCTTATAGACCGCTGGGTATGCCTCATGCATATACTCCTTACCTGGATATACTGCTAGGGTGAACCACCCCAGCGTCGTTCTTTTACACCTTGTGGTGAAACCGGCTACAGTTACGTAGCCGGCTGAGAAGGTAGAAACAGAATGTGATCTCACAACCTTATTTACGCTATACCTATCTACAAGAAACACCTAGAAAATTGATTCATCACCTAATGAATAATTGTACTCTGAAACCTACATATAATATCAACAATATTAACATATAAAATCTGGTTACACCGGTTGTTCTAACCCAACAGGTTTAAAAAACGGAATAAGTAAACTTTACATCTACAATAGGTACCAAATTATAATTAGCATGCGTGTATATGACATTCACTTTTTTTACTGAGTCTAATGTAAAAATGTTTGAATAACTATTCCTAGACCATAAATGACACGGAATTACAACTTAGACAAAACTTCTTATAAATACAATAAATTTAGTCGTAAAGTCCCCGTAGAGTATACTGTTTTTTATAAGTTATATGACGGATTTAAATTTTATGTAGTATGTGTTTCCTTTAATACGAACAACAAGCCTATAGATAGTAATAGCTAATACCTACAATGTAAATATTACACGAATAGAGAATTAAGTTTTTTGGTATCTACATATTGATTACGTAATAGTTATAAAAATAGTAGATGCATAATAAAATATATTTTCTAGAACAGTTTTCGTATCAATGTGAATATATTAAAATCATTAAGTTAAAAACTATTATGCGTTGTTAAATGATGAACTTAGATAATAATAATGTAAACATTTATCATAATACTTTCATATGAGGATCCCACTACGAATTAAAGTAGAAACACCAAAACGGAACAGTCTCATGTAAACAGCTTTTTAACAAACTATGTTATCTTTAATTTGACATGTATGTATGTCATTATTCCTTTGACACATCACACATTATAAATATAAAAATATCATAACATGTGTTTTCTTGCTTGTGTGTGAGTTTAGTTAAATAAAAATAACCTAAATTATAGATTATAAATAGGTATACTTTACTTGATAAAATCTGCGACAAGTCGCAGGATCGGCAAAATTGCCATTGCCCTGTGTTCCTTCTGGACAAACAAACTCTTCAGCTTCTTTATCCTTTTGGCAGTTCGCTGTAAATAAATTAATAGCATTTGTTACTTGAGCAATTCGAAAACATCTATATGAAATAACGACGCGTAACAGACTTCCTATACTTATCTACAATATCTATTACTTATTGTTATACTTAGATATACGTAAATAAGTATTTTGCATTGATTAACATTAACGAACTTAATTCATAAATAAAGCATACGTCGTTTAAAATATGTAATTAATAAAACTTTTCGTTTAATATCAAAATTAACATGAACACGTACATATCATTTGGTCGTTATTTTGGTGTGTCCAAAACGACGCGACGTGTCTAGTATTTTAATTACAAGTAATTCATTTTCTAATCCATTTATAGCCCTACCATAAGTACCTACTCTATAATATTCAGTCTATCACTGCCAGTAACATGTTAACGAATTCGTTAGCGTAATATAAGTAACTATTATGTATCTAGTATTGTTTTAGACTGAAAGAGAAAGTTAGTTATGCAAAAATATTTAGTATAAAATCTCGGTTAAATATAATATACTTAACAAAGAAATTTGTTTCGCTTTTCTCAGTTAGCTACAGATAAGTCATGATATTAGAATAAATATTGTTATCCTTAGATAATAGTTAAAAAGCATCTAATCTGATAAAATAATTATTAAAGCAACTATTTAATTGTTATATTTCTGGCCTCATTTGAATAATTCTTATTTTTTCGAAGATGGACCCGATTTACCAGTTGTAGTTTACGCCCAGTACCGGTAACTTATGTAATACAAAATATGATCAATGATAGCATCTTTCGTCGGTCTCATTTTATTTCTATTAAAAAATGTGACTACTATTAATTAATTTTAGTTATGTAGGTCATCTGTGAAATTAACTGCCTTCTCTACACCATATTACTAATCAGATACGAATCGACATAGTTGATATTAGATAACTTTATTTCAGCAATACCCAAGTATACGAGTAGGTACATAGTATTCATTTATTATCCATTAATCAAGGATTACTTAGTATTTAATACCTATAAAATAATCATAATATCTGGTTACAAGAATCGAAATAATCTTTATTCAACGGAACTACTTCTTAATAGGCTGCTGCTACATTCGAATTATAGTTTCAATCAGAAATGCAAAAGAAACATGGCTGTTGCTCGTAGAAGTATATATCATAAAACTTCACATGTTTCTTTATGTGAATATAAACAAACAGCAGCTTATGATTTCAATATAATTATGACGCAACAGAATATCTATGTACATACCTATATATCTAGGTATATGCATTTTAATATCTAAACAGATTAGATGTACAGCCCAATATCTCGTCGCACATTTACAACAAACGCACGGGCGCTTTCAAATTTAACACTCCAATGCAAAAAGGAAAACAAAAACTTGTGAATTAAAGGAAGGTGTTTCTTACACCGCTTAAAATCTATACGAATTCTTACTGCTAGATAACTTTTTTATTACAATTAGACTCCATGTTTATTTATTTACTGTTATCAATATTAATTATATAGTGTAATGTATCTGTTACTATTACCCTATTGCTATTTATATTGCAATTATCCTTTGCCAATTTTAAATCTTTGTCTATATGTGTAATATTACCTTATCTGTAGTACGACTATGACTAAATAATAAATATAACGTTACGTCTCCTATGCCCAATAAGGTAGTCAGATATAGCGCACAAAAGATAAGAAATAAGATGTAATAAAACATTAGAAAATATCAAGTATTCTACTTTAATATCGTATTGTTAACTATTTTGTTATATTGTATATTTATTATAGTTGAGTAACATACATAGCCTACAATGTATCTGGATACATTGTAGGCTAGGTATGTTATATGTACTTATAACTTAGGATATTCCAATCATTTTCTAATGAAAATGGTTGGAATCAGAAATGTACACTCAGAAATAGGTCTGAGATCAAATCCAATACTTTGCTTGCACAAAGCTATTTGTATTTCTACTATTACGAAGGTCACAAGTTTAATGATTTGATCTCTTTTGTACAGTTTCATACAGTAAAAATGTAGGGCTTTATTTGATTCAGTTACTAGAAACCTATAGAAAATAGGATAATTCTGTCAGATAGAAATCTGACAGAATTAACTATTAATTAATTTAGTTTTTATGTTGTTTAAAAATATATTGTATAAAAACTCATATTCTGATTAAGTATTTATATATCAAGTATTTTATATAACTTTAGAAAATATTTAACATTGTTTGGACTGATGTAGGTATGTAGAATTAAATCTAATCGTTCGTTAATTAAATTCGTAGTCATTTCAATTCAACATTCAACTCAGACCCAGATCTTTATTGAAGACTACAAATGTTTGGGTCAATACACAATAAAACCTAAAATAATCGAATGCATTGTGTTTTTTTATGATAGAAAGTGGTCGCTTTATCATAAGAAACAAAAACAACCATGGTTCTTGTCATATCTTTATAGACATTAGCCTGACTAAACATGATATGTCTCATTGCTTGCTCCAACTGACAAATAAGATAATAATCCTTTTCGTTTTAAAAATTATACTTCCATACTCGTATTTAATCCAAAACTTCTCTTAAATTTCACCATTCAAATAAAAATAAACATAAACACCAGTAATACTAGGCCAGCTAAAATGCACGGAATCAATTAGCTCTAACCTCTTTGTGATTTTACTTGAGAGAGTTATATATTTTTTGTATAGTGAAAAGTAAATTAATTTAAAACTTTCTAAATTATAGAAATATTTTGTGTTGTAGAGCGCATTGTAGTAGAATTTTAATTTAATTTTATATTTTTTTACAACTGATTAGGTATGTTAATTTGAAATAATTTGTAAGTAATTAATATTGAAAGTCAAATATTCTGAATTTAAATATCAGCCTACTTATAATATTTGTAGCCACAAGTATACCTATGTATGTCTTAATAGAAATTTCAAAATATATTTGCGACGTAATGTGCGATGTATTAAAATTTGAAGTTTTTACTTCACAATTGAATGTTTAAAGTATCTATATAGATGTGCTTGTGTCTATTTTAAAACTAAAACCTGTACTACTACCGATAACATACTAACTTTGTAGCTGTTTGTAATTTGCTACATTTTTTGCACACACTGCATGAAACCCGTTTGAAATGAGCGACCCTGTGACAGGTACCAGGGTGGCAATCACTAACAGGTACTGGAAATCTATCTTGCCTTAATATAGCTAATTATTGTATAAAAGTAAGTACTAAAAGCTCCTAATGTTAATTAAAAAAGTAATGCCGATTTACGAGGCCACAACGCGGCGTAACTTTTTCGCCGCAAAGATATTAATAAATTAGCCAGGTAGAGAAGTGTCAACATCCTCGACCACAACCGGTTGTATACCTTCAATGTCAAATAAAAGAAAGGACGTGCACAGCGAATCTTAATTAGATACCTACATACTTTTATGTTTACCTGTGAGAATTGTCACACGTACTTTCTACTCAACGAGCGACGCGCTTTAAGTAAAAGCTGGAAAATTGTAACAATACTAACGTCTGGCTTCAAATTTTGTAGTATTATGTTTATTGTATGAAGATTATCATTTGCAGATAGCTTTCACTGTATCATTTAGTTGTAACAGTTACGTTAACATGTTAACGGGTTATTCGTATTGCTTGCATAAGATTACGCTTGATCACACATTCTATACCAAATCAGAATCAATGAGAACGTGAGTATGTTACGCATAAATAAATAAAAAATGTAAACTAACCGTTTCCGAGAATGGCACAAATAATTAAAATTGACGCAAATGGTAGAGCTGCCATGGCGCCTCGCGCACAGTTCAATCGAAACAGCGACATGAAGCCTTTCACCGTCGCACGCGCACTGCGGCGAACCTGGGACAGCGCACCGCACCAAGCATCGTCGCCATCGCCTGCCGACCTCGCAGACGGCTTTCTCCTCAAACCCTCTGACCGTCCAAAACTACCTTGTATGGATCATTATTTTTAAATACATAGCAGCTATTATAAAATCTGTAAGTACCCGGAAATTGATAGCAGCTAGACCTTGATTACTCATCTAAACACGTAACTAAACATTACCCAATTTAATGGGTCTAACCTAGAAATGTAACCCTTACAGCTCTGAACAACGTATACATGTGAAGGTTTTATGTCTAAAGTGTTCTAAATTACTCGTAGTTTATTACAACCCTATAGTACCTATTGTAGTAGAACGAAATAAAATACTACTCGTATTTTAGGTACCTAAAACTATTCAAACTTTGATTGTATATATTTAATATTATATTGTATAAATACGACTTAATATTAGAAAACTGTATATAATATTGTATTTTAATATAATGCTAAAATATTTCTCCTTCTTCTTTTTCAGTTTCTAGGACTAAAGTTTTTATTTGAATATAACAAATCTAGTTCAAAATTATTCTTTCTATTGCAGAAAACTAAAGAGAAAACTTTATAGTTTTCTCTTTAGTTTTCTGCCACGGAGACATTACGGTAAAATATAAAAAGTAAACAGATGAATGGATTATTTCCTCTTTGTGTCTTTCTCTATTTGAAGTAAAAATAACTACAGCCAATGCACCCAAATAAAACATCAATAACAAATGCCAGAATATTATTTCCTTTCTAGAGAAATATTCTATTTATATATTTTTTTGTATGATATATTAAGAGCGTATGGTATATTACCCCAACCTATACCAGAGTCTCAAAAGTCGTGAGTTCAAAACTGGCCGATACAAAAAAACCTTTTTCAATTTATGTTTCTGACTGACTTTCCAGTAAGCGAAACATTAACAACAATGTCAATGTCGATATATTCACCCGTGCCTGTGAATTCAACAGAATAGAATAGAATAGAAAATCATTTATTCATATAACTTACATTGAACATTACATTTTTTTATCTACCGCTCATTCGGAAAGCTGCCACATCACAAGTTTAATCAAGAAACTTGCGTATTGCTCTTTTAAATAATTTTGTTATTAGGTACTTTTTACATTTTTAAGTTGAAGTGTGTGAATACAAACTACCAATTAGCATTAATTCAATTAAATACTCAAATAGAAAAAAAATTACGTGTACAAACTGGTTGAGTAACTAAATAAGAGTAAATTAGTCGTAGTGATTAGACCAGAACCCCAGACAAGCAGCACTCGTTCACGAGTATGACGGATGAGCCAGCCATCACTGGACACTGGACGCGACAATGGACATGCCCACATTTTGTTCATATATTTAAATCGAAAGTTATATCTCGTATTGGATTCCACGTGAAATCAACCATATATAAATATAAATTACTAGCACATTTTTTTTCTGTACAGCAAATTTGAACTCGCAAACCTTGTAATACCTATAAGTCGAAATAGTAACCACTAGGCCACTACTTTTATATTTTATTATCTACTTGCAATAATTCATCAACATTCTATACGATGATTGTGCGGAATGGCTGCGGTGAGAAGTGTTTGGCACGTTTATAATCTGCATGTCTAGCATAAGTTTCATTAAACGTTTACTTTTCCTTTTAGATAACTCTCACTTAATATAACTCTGAACTTTTACTGTCCTTCTGGCAAGTATCTATATGGTTTACATAAATTACGAATGAAGAAGTAGACAGGAAATTAGGCAATTAATGTCTATCTTAACGCCAAGTATAGTTAACCAATAATAAATTATGTACTACAACTCTTGTAGGTCATACACATAGCTAGCAATCTATTTGCTACTTGCCTAATTGTACACAAAAAAGGCATCGGCCATTGTCACCGCTCTATTTTGTCAATTATACGAGATCTCGCACAATCTATGCGTTAATATTTAGCATACATCACGTAAAATAGCTTCAAATCTCGCAAGATCTGGATAAAAGTTGTATTTCCAATAGGAAATACAACTTCTATCGATGAAATATCATCGTTGATTATGAAATGAAGAATATGAAGTCGTGAAAATCTGTTATTTCAAATGGGAAAGATTTAACAAGAGGTAGCCAAATAGTCATTATTTTTCATATCTTTCTCGCACTATTGTGAGGTGTAGATAACTAACTGATCTAAGTAGGTACCTAGTTATTAAACAACATTGAGAATTTCAACAATGGCATTGGCAAGTGGCGATAAAATCTACGTCGTAAACACTGGGTATTTCTGTCCCATCCATTATGGGCATTAAACATTAGAAGGTTATATGCACTTATTAAATCATAAAATAATGGTTAAATACGAGAAGATTAGACCGCATTAAATAAATAATAGGGCGGAGAGGATCGGTGGTACCTAATGCTTTTATTATTGTCAGTGACGTATCTCGTCAGATCGATCTTCACACGGTCCTCTATGGAAACCATGGTGATTAATTCCCGATGAATTGGTCAAGTTGCGGTATTTGACTGGACTTACTCCTCTTGTCTTCTACTGTGTACACCCAACAGAAAATATTTTTAATGTATAATGATGATACTTAATAGGTACTCCCGCTTGCACTAACGATATACGCTGTCATAAGACCTGTGGACCATGACAGTATGATAATGAAATTAGTTTCCCCTAGTATACCTACTGAGAGACCCTCTCAAAGTTAAGTCAACCTGATATGGTATATTACTAGCTATGGGGACCTATTACTAACAATCCCCTATCTTTCCCCAGAAATATGTTCTCATAGGGTTTTCGTTTTAAAGGGTGAATATTAGTATCAGCACCTCAGGATCACGTATGATTAAGCTCTCTTGTGCAAGCGTTTGTAAGCTGGCGTGGTTCTTATACAGTTGAATCTATTGTAATTTAAAGATTAGTTTCTATTCTGAACAAAAGAAAGGTAGAATTCAGAACTAATCTTCTCCACGAAATTAACTTTCTTTGTATTACTATTTAGCCAGTACAGTTATTGTAATTTGTATTATAGTTCACATAATAATTTCCCCACCGTTCGCCAGTATTACCAGTCTAAAAATTAAATTACCATATTAAAAAATAATGCAATGCTTTGAGAATTATCTTAGTCAGTAAAATGTTACAAAACAATTTTATTGCACTTATCCTTTAACAAACAGTTTTTTATACATTTATTTAGGAGAAGTAACTCTTGTGTCTGCGTTTTAAAAAGGATATAATAATATGTTGTATACTAACAAATCTTAGCGTTGATTAACGAACGAGGAGACGACGTGTCGCTGTCAAAGTCACGTCACAGTGACATTTCTTGTCACGTATGTATAGTTCTTAAAGTCAATGAATAGCTCTTTGAAATATCATAATATTAAATTTTAATCAAATTATTGTTTTTTTTTAACTAATTTTTAAGATTTTGATGGCATATTATTTATTAATATACAATGACAACTTTACGTGAACGGCAGCTCAGTAAGTAAATTAATAAATAAATAAATTCTAGTGAAAGCATTACATGTAACTATTTGGTATTAATCAATCTCTTCCATTTTAATTCCCAATTAACTTCATAACTTGATGTTTTTTGTTCAAAGATGCGCTGAAACAAATGTTAAACTTAAACCAACCTCTCACGAAAAATGTAGCAACAGAACCAGTATGGAAAGTGTTAATTTACGATAGAATAGGTCAAGACATAATTTCTCCACTTATATCAGTAAAAGATCTTCGAGAACTAGGCGTAACCCTTCACGTGTGAGTACGCCATCCAAATAATATGATATTATTTAATCTTTACAAAAAAAACAGCATTTTTTTCTTGATCTATTTACTTTCTGTATACTTTAATTTAGAGGCAGGTAAGTCTGTTTAATAAAATGTTTTCACAATTATAATTATTGCTATTTTTTTAAAGAATTCGTAAATGATAATATTTAAACATTATCTATTAAATATTACACTATTATTGATTTAATGATAAATAAGTATTATATTCAACTTAATTCATTATTGAAGTGTCAGTATTTATTATTATGTCTAGTTCTCATGGCAATTGAACCTATGTTGTATGCCTACATATAACTTCATAATACTAGACTCACCACTTTATACCATGTTTTACTATGTAATGTCTATTCTATGATTATTTTATTTGAGGTCTCTTTGGTGTTATTCATATAAAAATTGTCTTGTTTACATTTACTATGGCATATTCAACTCTATTTTCTGCATTGATTCTCCCATTGGGCTATTGTACATGGTCTTGATTATTAATTAATGTAAAAGCCCCTATTAAATAGAAAACAATCTGTTGCAGGCAATTGCATTCTGACCGAGACCCAATACCAGAAGTACCAGCAGTTTACTTTTGTTCACCTTCTGAAGAAAACCTTGGGCGAATTTGCCAAGATTTGGACAATGGATTATATGACCAGTATCATTTAAACTTTATATCGCCTATCTCAAGGCAAAAATTAGAAGATCTGGCAGCATCAGCTATCCAGTCGAACTCTGCAGTAAATATACATAAAGTATATGACCAATACTTGAATTTTATATGCTTGGAGGATGATTTATTCATTATGAAACATCAGCAGTCAGATTCTTTATCATATTATGGTAATGGATTGTTTTCTTCTAATTTATTCACAAATTTTATTATGTTATGTTATTTTATTACATATAAAATAAATAGATCTTGTACTTGTAAAATGTTAAACATCTTTTCTACTGTATCATCAACTTTGAATTGTATCGCTAGTCGTCAATATGTTGTCATATTTCAGTTCTTTAACTACATAACATGCCATCATTGGCTACATATTATAATATTCATGATACATTTAAAAAAAATTAACAATATTCAAAATGCATAGTACTATATCCTTTATTTAACATAATTAAATGTGACAAAAGTTTAGACTATAGTTTCAGCAGTTTTTGGTGAATATAACAAGTTTTGTCTATCATGATTTTATTGTATGTACAGCGATAAACAAAGGTGATACAAAAGATACTGAAATGGAATCAATCATGGATAACATAGTTGAGAGTCTGTTTTCTGTTTTTGTGACACTTGGTAAGTTAATGTTCTATTAACATTAAATTATATATTTAGAAGTTTAAAATATTACATACATGTAATGAAAAGTTGCCGATACAGAACCAAATGCTAACTTAACATCATTGTTTTATATATATATATATAAATAAATATATTTCTCTCAGGTAATGTTCCTATTATAAGAAGTAATAAAGGAAATGCAGCAGAAATGGTTGCAAAGAAATTAGATAAAAAGTTACGGGAAAACTTATGGGATGCCAGAAACAATCTATTTCATGGCAACACTGGGCAAGTGGGATCTTTCAGTTTTACTAGACCAATGCTTATATTGTTGGACAGAAACATTGATATGGCAACACCATTGCATCATACTTGGACATACCAGGCACTTGCTCATGATGTTCTGGATTTATCACTGAATAGGTTAGTGAATATATAATACATTTTATTTTTAATACAATCATTTAAATTCTACTTATTTTTCAAATCATATAATTACATTTTATAGGCTCTTCTGAACATAATAATACCAGTAAGCAGAAATAAAAATAATCTTTATCAAATAAACTCCAAATAATCACTTGAATAATTTTATAATATTATTTGGAAAGCAGTGCATTGCAAGAAAAAGAAAAAAATACTTGTGTGTTGCTCTTTTAAATGTTTAGCATTACACAGTTAATATTTTCTGTGGATACAAACCACCAACAATATAGAGAAAACTATTATATGTATGTTTTATTTAGTAGCTATAATAAATATTATGGATACTAAATAAATCAGTCATTGTTGTCAGAACAAACCACACCCTACAAGTAGCACCCATTCAAGAGTATAATGGGCCAGCCAAAACTGCACTCAACCATATTATAGGGAGCCCAATGACCTATCCCACCACCGCCACCACCAGTCTGGACATTTAAGTGAGCATGACTAACTCATGACACTTGACCACGTCACAACTAATATTGCTATACCATGAGAAAGTTGTAACATTCACACAATACACATTAACATGAGAGATGAGATGGCATATGATAATTAATATAGAGACTAATTCGCATTTATAATTTATGTCATCAATTAAATTTTATTGGCATAGTGCCAATAAAACTTCTTAAAGTTAAATTGTTTTTTTTTCTATTAAAGCATAATTATAATTCATAAAACCTAAATTCAAATTTGTAATTATCTTCTTTTGTATGAATGACAAAATAAAGATAATATAGCATACTATTATAATGGGTAAGCTATAATTGACATACTTTTTCAGAGCAGTGGTTCCTGAAAATACATCTAATGCAGTTCCAGGTCAGAAAACTAAAACCCGATTATGTGACTTAGATTCTAAAGATCCTCTATGGCAAGAACACAAAGGTAGCCCCTTCCCCACGGTTGCTGAAGCTATACAAGAAGATTTAGACAAATATAGGTAATTAAGTTATAAATAATCTCTAGTCTAGTTAAATAGCCTATTCAATTATATGTCAATACTTATTATATTTTCAATTTCAAACTATAATAAAAAAGAAAACGAATTTACTATTTAAACATTCCACACACTATAATTTCAGGAGTTCAGAGGCAGAAGTAAAGAAGCTAAAAAGTTCCATGGGCTTAGATGCCGACAGTGACTTAGCACTTAGTTTGGTCAGTGACAACACCCATAGACTGACGAGCGCCGTGAATTCATTGCCACAGCTTATGGAGAAAAAACGACTTATTGACATGCACACAACCATTGCTACAGGTAATGCATTTTGAAATGGATATTTCCTTCTTTTAGGTTGATTTTATAGGTATTGTTTATTTTCTTTATATAGGTTATAATCGGACATAAATGTAAATTAATTCCATATGTGACTGTGGATACCATGAGTACGCAGCTAATTGTGCTCTACATAATCAAGTTGATTTTTTATATAGAATAGTAAAAAAAGACAGTTAAGATATTAAGGAACTACTATTATAATATTACTGTACTACATTACAGTATGTATAGTGAGGTCCTGCCGACACAGTTCACATTAATATCACTTCTGAGGAGTATTTTATTTTCAACAAGTTGCTTGGATGTTTATCATTAAAATCAATATATAACAACTCCTAATTGACTAGTACTGTTATATATATAGTGTAATTACCTATAGGGACAGTTACCACTCAAATATCAGTTACATAAAACATTATGTATGATTACGTTTTGTTCCAGCTATTTTAAATGCGATAAAATCTCGCCGATTGGATTCATTTTTTGAACTGGAAGAAAAGATAATGAGCAAAAGCAGCAGCGTGGAAAGCAAAGCTGTGATGGATCTGCTAGCCGATCCAAGTGCTGGTACTCCTGAAGACAAAATGCGATTATTTATTATTTACTACCTGTGCACTTCTCAAATTCCCGATGAGGAATATAAAAAGTTTGAAACTGCGCTGTCAACGGCCAACTGCGATATAAAAGCCATGACATTTATGCGTCGGCTGAAGTAAGTTACCTATGCATTAATTTTATTACATTTTTTGTTGTCTATAAAATAGTCCTATGCAGCTTAATCATGTTTTGTCGATTTTATCAATTGAAAATGAAATAAATTATACCCGTAATCAAATTTGTCTTACTAACTAAAAATAATTATACATATATCCAATACGTCGTATATATACAACGATTATAGTTTTGTTTGGCATCCCCGTCTGGAATAACAGTTGTGACTGTATATTTGTATTTAATTGTTCCCCTAATTTCTTAACTACTTCGTTCACAGAGGTTTCACTAAAATGTCAAGTCAATACGAAGGAGGCGGAACGAAAACAGTATCCATGTTCTCAAAATTGGTTTCACAGGGATCTTCATTTGTAATGGAAGGAGTAAAAAATTTAGTAGTCAAGAAACATGTGAGTTTTGCAAGTCATTTTGTAATCTTTAAATTTAAACCTTTAAATAATTTTATGCATTGTTTTAGTCAACGCATGATGTAGTAAGTTGTCTACTACGTCAACAAAATTCATCTACCTGAGTAGATATTTATTTAGAGGGAAAAATAGTTTAGAATTAAAGTTAGTTATTTATACTTATCCATTGTTATGAAGATTCTTTTGGCAGTATGTGGAAATCATATAATACAGACAAAATAATATGTATTTCATAGGTTTAAACCAATTTTTGGAGATATTTCAGCACACTTGTAGAAGCAGATACATTCGAAAGTGTAAACATACTCGGAATTACCACTCATAGTACAACTACCACTCGTAATTATAGCACAAATCGAACACACAGGCTCAAAATTAACAGTCAAACTTTAGCTCATACATTAGGGAAGAATAACAAGTGATAATGAAATACATACTCAAAGCTTAAATACCAGTTTAGCATTTTTTAAATTTAAATCGTCTATCACTATTATAGAAGCTGCCCGTGAGCAGGGCGGTGGAGACGGCGCTGAACGGCGGCAGCGGTGATTCTGAGCTGGGCTGGCTGGACCCGCGCGCCGCCCGCACTGATGCCGCTGCCCGCAGCCGCGCCGCGAAACACCCGCCGCCCACTGATGCCGTGGTCTTCCTCGTCGGCGGCGGAAACTACATCGAGTATCATAACCTCATAGATTTTGCTAAGGTAAATTTAATACCTTTGCTGTTTTTATCTTAGTAGAATAGAGTAGAAAATTATTTATTAGATATAAAACTTCTATTAAATCATATTTATTGAGCAAACCCTATTTAACTCACTTAGATGAGAAACGCGCATGGCAATATTTATTCACGCACGGCATTTTCATTTAATCTTAAACTTAGCTATATGAGTATACATTGTATATATACTAGTTTAAAAAAAACTGTTGAGTTTCATGCCAGTTCTTCTAAATTGATTTAGTATACGGAACTGATTATTAATATAAGAATGTTAATGTTGTCGCGGACTATTTTTAGAACTTTTAAAAAAAGAATAATTCAGTCTTACATAGTTTTTGCGTAAACGAAGAATAATTCCGTCACACATAGTTTATGCGTAACTTTAACAGTTTACGCAGCGGAAGTACTCAAAATAAATATTTTTACTCACACTCAAAATAAATATTTTTTTATTGGTGCTCCGCCCCTATTGGTCGACGCGTGAAGTTCTAGAGCCTATAGCACTCGGAGATAATTAACATTGAAATAATGATTGAAATCGGATCATCAGAACCGGATTATTCGAACCCCGACCAAACAAAAATACATACTATAATTTAATATATACATATAATTTAGTTACTCTTTGTATATTAGTATAAACATTAGTTTCCACCACATAATCATAATTATGTCTTTATGTGTAATAATAATGTCTCGTTTAAGTCTGTATGTATCCAGTTTATAAACTAAATGCCATGGATTTGTAAAACTAACCTAGTGACCCTGCTACGGTCACTAAGTTAATTTTATTTAGAGTTACGATATAATAGGATTAAATATCTGTTGTGAAATTAAGAGCATTTCTTAAACAAAGATAAGCGGAAGGGAATAAGTGTGCTCAATTATAAGGTTATATTTTTTTCCAGCAACAAGCTTCTAACGGTACACCGAGAAAAATTATTTATGGCACTACAACATTGCCGAATGCATCACAATTTCTGACACAACTATCCCTGTTGGGTGAAGAAATTCAATGAACATTCCAGCCCTACAATTGGTACATGTAATAATGTAATATATACATATATATATATAACAGTTAATTATATTATTTTACTCTATGGTTACTCTTATGTTGTGGATTTATTAAATATTAATGAATGAAACAAATTGAGTTTTCAACAAGTTGGCATTTTATTTACAATGACACTGAAAATATAGCTAACATCTAATATTCTACTAATAAATTTTAATTGTTTTGAACAAGAAGTATAAAATCTAAATCACAAGATTAGTATTTCAACAGTAAACAGATCTTGATAACCAGTCATGCATTTTTTCACAAACCAATTTTATCAAGTAAGAATGTCCAAATGCAAAATAATGTCACAACCAAATTTCATTTGAAGCAAAATAAATTTAATTTAGATACATTTAAAATCAAACTTGTCAAATTTGTAGGCCCTTACACACTATTGTGCCTAATTAAAAATTAAAATCTGGCATTATAACATATACTTAATAACCCTCGAAAAATAGCAAATATGTGGTACATTATACTTATAATTATAACATGCATTACTGACAGAAAATTAGTATTTAGATTTTAGATTTCAGTGATAAGGAACTTGAACATCTTACTTAGCACTGTATACACCCCTGTTGTCTAAATATTGTGGTGAAACGCAATATTTAAAAAAAACTATCTCAAATATACAAACATCCATCACTGCTTGTAATATGAATTTGGCACAGTGAAGAAACTCAACTAGAGTAACCAACGACAGAAGGGATAATTTGCAATAAAATTTTTACATCTGTCATCTACATACGAGTTAACTACTCGTATGTAGATGACAGATGTAAAAATCGTATTTAGACGACATTTGTACATAACCTAAAACATAATTGTATTTCATTCGACATTTTCATCATTAACATGAACATTTAACTTCTGTCATTGGCGCTTAACATCAACAAGAAGAGAGAGCGAGTTTAATATATTTAAAAGAAAATACGCTTAAAAGGACAAATACGGCAAGATCACAATAACATATTTATATATTTAAAAATATTTTATACATTTTCGAAAGATATGTTTGTGCAAAAACCGAAATAGTACCAACTAAATAATTAAAGAGCAGAATAAAACTTACATGTAAATAAGTGGCACTATTACACTAATATAAAATATTGTGCGTAATTTAACCGCTAATTAACCAATTAATTTACTCTACACAAATTGGAGAGCATACAAATATAATGTCAAAAACTTATTTTATAGTTTACATAAATTCATAAAGAAATATTTTTTATATCAATAAAAGAAAGCATGGCACTTAATTAAGATCTCTAACGGAAACATGAATAGAATAATTTCTAAGTGATACAATATTTATTAGAAACTAGTTGTTGGTATAACAGAGTGATCTTATAACTAAAGTAACATTACAAGGACCACACGAAACCTATTAAGTTACACAGATTATTAAGGCGCATTTAGAAGATTATTTAGTGAACATTACTACACTTAAATTATATCAGAGTCAAGCAATGCATTGCTTTATAACAATCAAGCACTATTTATTACAAATACGCAATTCAAAAGCTTTATATGCATATTATTCATGTATTTAACTTTTTTAATTTCAACTTTGAAGTGATATATCTTATCATTATATAGTAATAAAATCTTATACTACAAGGATATTCACCAGTATTTCAATTTTATGTAATTATAAATATGTCAGTATGTTTTATACTCAAAAAGTCTGTAAATATATATTGAATAAAATAGAGAGACATTGAAAATATTATACATTAATCAAGGATAAAAAATAAAACCAAAAACTGAACTTTTTTCGTTGATTTATATTATTAAAGTAATAATTCTTTGCTACTTTTAAAAAGTAATTTTTGTTAATTGTTTATAATAATTATAAACATCAAAAACAAATGAACAGGGGAAGACTTATGCATATTAAGTGCAACAGAGTGACCATATATTGATTGATTATTAATCTCATTTAAAGCACTCAAGAAAGTATTAAGATATTTAAATTTATTTTATACACGCAAAATATATTTCATAACCAAGTTAAGTGAAGCTTTAATTATCCATAAAATGCTAATTTCGACTATTCTTGGACGGCAGATACATCTATTATTCAAATAAATATGTATCTTTTCCAAATCACATAGTACTGTTTACTTTAGTATATATTGTTAGCTGTAAATATAACTGCAGCAATATACTGAATATTAAAAATCTCCGTGAACTGATGTCATTGTGGAATGTTACAACTAATACAAGAAAAAGCATTCTTATTCAATATGAATACGATAGGACTATTTATTCAATTATTATAACTGTACGTAGAAGTATCCATATTGTCAATGTCCTGACAGAGGTGACATCCGCCGACATGCGAATTATTCCTACTCTACCGAATTTGATACCTTTGACGAATCCAAGTACAGAGTATAATAACTGAAATACGACATAAAATAGATGCATATTAATGTAACATGATTTATCAATATATTATTTATTGATATTACATCACATTTAAGATTAATATAGTGTAACCACAAATTTTTATTTCAAGAAAATTCTAAAAACTTGCCTCTGATGCGCTTTTTATATGTCTCCTACTGCACATCCCTGCTAATATTCATATTATCTTAAAAAATCAAGTTTTCTTTTTTTATTTAGCAAAAATGATATAAATATACGAAAAGTATACAAATTATATTATCAATGGTTAAATAGGAAATCATTATAAGAATAAAATTGGCTTATCATCAGCCTACTTTCTCTTTTAACGTGCATAATATCTATCTGTATAATGCTCGGTGTGCTATATTATGGCACAAGATATACAGAAATATAATTTTAATTCCTAGATGACAAATATTTAAATTAATATTGAACATTGGCTTGTTCATGTAAAGGAATAATGGAACCTTGAAAGAGAAATTACATATTTGAAAACAATACTGAAATTGGAATGTTTAATAACAACAAAGAAGGCCTTTGCTACAAGACTAAGCCAATACATTGTAAAAAGGAATGTTGTTTTTGATATGATTTTATTTCACCATTCATTAATATGAAATATAGAATTTATAAAGAATAGTATTCCTTATCATAGTTTGTTACATTATAATTTTTATATTAAAATTTAAAAATTGTTAAAATTGTAAGTCTTAAAAAAAATCTGATGATATGAGATTCATCTATTCTTGAGATGAGACTATTTTTTTAACATGTTAAAACTTGGACAACTGTCACAATACGTCAGTCTTGCAGGTAGATAGTATAATCATAAAGTACTATTAGTACTTATCTATTATTCTTACCATTGTGACTAAAACACCTGCAATTTATACTTATAATTTTCTGGCACGTAGACACAACATCGGCAACTATTAGGCCAATAAGAAAAACAGAAATTTTAAATGCTTTACATTAAATATTTTGATCATTTTAATTGCAATTACTACAGTATGACATGATTACATTGAAATTCAACAGTGCATTATACATATTATCTCTAATGATTACTTATAGTTCGGTATATTGTATAATCAAATAGGAAGGATTTAGAATCATAAAACTTACACTAGGAATATAATTTTATATGTTTAGTTATCAATCATAATTTAAAAATCTACCAGGCATGTGAAGGTTTAGAAATTTTATAATGTGTAAAGATCATATCAATTATTTCACGACCAGAATCACATTAGAAATGTTTAAATATTATACTGTAATAGGTAAATAGTTAACACTTTTAAAACATGCAATGCAATATATTGTTATTGTTAATTATTATTTTATCATATCTAACCATGATTTCTTTTAATAATCATCAACTCGCAATTTACCTCTAATGAAATTTGTCAACAGATCTTAACATTAAAATATTATTATGATTATCACCATACCTAAGAATTAGTCAGTTATCTTTAAAAGAGAAGATTTTTTTTACCTACCTAATATATTTTATCATTCAAAAGTGATTAGTATGTAAAGATTTTAGTCAGTTATATAACAAAATGTATGAAAACAACAACAGATTGTTTGTAAAATCTATCACAGACGATAGACAAAAATCAGTCTAGAATCATGCATCAAAATCAAAGTATCTATTATAAGAAATAAAAGAGGGGCAGAAAAACTATTTATAAATGCCCATGGGCAGTTTATGAAGTGAGAATAGAAAATGTGTCTTCAATCATTTCTATTCCCAAGAAATTATAATAGGAGACTAGGAGAACATTACATTGGTTTAAACTTCCTGCTTGGCAATAGTATACTAGGTCCCCATTATCGCCATAATTAGAGACTTATGCCCAGCAGTGGAGTAATAATAGATTGACATGAGTTAACAATGACCTATGGACAAATCACAGAGCATCATCTAATCTCCAAGTAAAATTGTCATAGTTACTGGTTAGCAGATACTATATGATAGATAGACATACAAAATCATCAACAATAAATAACTGACAAGGGTTAACACACGCAGTGCTAACACATACTTGTTGAAGTACATTTGAGACCAATTTCACTTTAACAATAAATTCAGGATAAATATTATTACATACTCATGGATAGTAAAGTAGTTAGTGATAAATTCTGTTGTTTTCTTTAACAATAAAGTAAAAATTTGTACTGTAATATAAATATGTAGATATAATATAATGTTGCAATAATAAAATAAATTCTATTTAAAAAATAGATAAAACTATATTTTATTGTAAATTAATAAAAAAAAAATATATTTATTCAGATGTCAAGTATGAGATTCAAGACAGTAATAGAGACAAATGTTCAATTAAATAACATAGTGTCAGAAATGCATTCTGGAATGCAATACATAGATACATTACTTTGTCATGGAATTATAGTTTTTTTTACAAAGTTCATTTGAAAATTCAGAAGTTGAAATGACATATAATGACTAGACATGTCTTATAACATTTCGTTGATTTTGAATTTATACATGCTTATAAATATATAGCTTATATGCACTGTCTCTGTATAAGTTTTCAAAGCAATATTAGCATATTAACATTTGCAGCAGTATATATGTAGAGATGACACAAATCTCAAATGTCTGCTAGCAACTGTTTAAACAATGAATTTCAATTACTGTGACACCAACTATCAATTTAGTAGGTGTCACAAATATTGTATCAATAACAAACTGGCATGAACCAGTTCTTGCATAATTTAAGTGTGAAATACAATAATATTAAGTACCTTATTAAGCAGGCGTAACAAGATGGATGGCAACGGCATTCATTGGGGAAACAGCTATTGTTTGGTCTGATTGGCATTACGACTTGAGCTGCTGCTATTTAATGCCATCTTCTGCATTTGACGGATAACTGTTGTAGCATGGTAAGCCTGTTTCCAGCGTGACTTAGCAAAATTTTTCTTCAGCTGCTCAGATACAGTACCATGAATATTCTTGTTGCTGGCAGCATTGCCTGAAATCCACGGGTGGGCCAAGGCTTGCCTGCAAAAACATTCAAATATAAAATTTTCTATTTTATAAAAATAAATTTGATGTGATGAGCACAGCAATCCAAATGAGTGGTCGAATAAAAGGATAACTATGACTATTCCAAAGTGCTCAAATTAGGATTACTTGTTTATAGGATTTTCTATTCTATTTCATATCCAACTACAGGAAAAAGCTAGAAGTGTGATGTGATATGAAGTGCTTTAAGTATACAAGAAAATCTTTATAAAATAGATAATTGTTGACTTCTGTCTTTGGGTTTATAGCCACATAATTAAAAAGTTAATTAACATCTATTCAGGCATTTTCTACTGGTGATACTATTTTTAAAAGGCTTCACTTAATTTTGGGATTGTTAGTCTTCATCTCAGTCAGTGTTAAATTAGATTGTTTTCTCTCAAGAAGCTGACCCTTCTACTGATGATATAACATGGATAAAGACAACCATATCTTCAAAAATGTTTGATTTGTAATCCAATGTTGGATTACTTAAAATGTATGGATACATTTACAAAAAAAAATATTTATGTTCACATACTTTTGGAGCATTGTCATTTTTAATTTGATTGTTACACAAACAAGACACAGTCTATGAATTTAATTAATTCTAAAGCCATAATATTTCATAATTATAGAACTAGTTCAAACCTAATGAAAATTGTTTATTAAAAATGAGTATTTTACATGTATATCAAAAAAGGGATAGGTCTTATAGTTGATAGATATTTCATTATTTAAATACTTACTTGCAAGTATACCTCTTGTCCACATCTACACACATTAAATGTCTTATGAAATCTTTGGCAGAATCACTAATATCATCCCAATAAGGCGAGTCAAACTCAAAATCACCCTTCAATATTTGGGCAAACAAATTGGCATCATTTTCGTCATAAAATGGTGGATATCCACAGAGTAAAATATAAGATATAACCCCTATACTCCACACATCTACAGCTTTGCCATATGGCTTCTGTGCCAGCACTTCAGGGGCAACATAACCTGGTGTCCCACAAGCAGTGGCCATAATTCCTGAATCCTCTATTTTTGACAAACCAAAATCACTGATCATTATTTTACTGTCCTCATCTGCACTGTAATACAAAAGATTTTCAGGTTTCAAGTCCCTGTGTACTACACCTTGTGAGTGCATGTAATCCACTGCTTCCAGCACTTGTCTTATAAGATTTGAAGCATCCTTTTCAGTATAAGAGCCCTTTTCTACGATGCGATCGAATAACTCCCCTCCAGTCACTAGTTCCATTACAAGATAGACCTTATTCTTATCCTCATATGTCTCCAATAGCTGAACAATGTTGGGATGGGAAAACATTTTCTTCTCACCTCCTTCAACTTTCGCTTGTTCACTGAACCTTTTCAGCACTCTTATCTCGTTCTCTAGGGAATCTTCTTTCCCTTTGAGAGCTTTTTTGTCGATAATCTTACACGCAAACAGTTGTCCGTTCTCTTTGCTCTCTATCAAACGCACTTCGGAAAAAGCACCAGTGCCTAATAGATCTTTCACAGTATACTTGTCCTCGATTGATGGTTGCTTCTCCGAATCTCGACCATCTTTTTTGGATTTTCTACCAAAATCCTTTTTACCAAATAGAGGCATCTTCGCGCCTCACGTTTATGGATTTGATCTACAAACTACTTATCTAAAAAAATTCTACGCACATATGGCAGATATTTGATGTTCTGCCTGGACAGAGAACAATAATCTTGCACGGCTGGCTTCACAGCTAAACGGAATGTTGCGCAGGGCGCTCAAGGTCAGGCCATTTGTCAAAAACTCGTTACGTTTCGTTTAACGTTAGTTTCGTACACGACTAGTAAGAACATACGAAGTAACAAAAGTAAATTAAGTGTTTTTAACAACAAAAAATTGTTGTACTGTAAACAACAAATTTAAATAAATAACACTAGTTTATCTTTTAGTAGGTTCTAAGATACTAACATAGTGCAGGTACAGATTAATTAATAATAAAGTAGAGTCTTTGAATACATTTAAAAATAAAAAAAATAATAAGCTCTAGATTAACCTTCCAAGAATAGTTACACTTAGTTTAGTTTCAAACAATTGATCACTCTCATAAAATATTAGATAAACTCCGCGCGCGGCTAGGTGACAGTTGTCATTTTTACACAACACTGTAAAATTGTACTATTTAATAATTAACGATACTGGGTAAGTTAAAGCGATAGTTATAAATAAATACGAATAGAATCAGTTTTCCACTATTAATTGTTATTGTGAGTTCAATAGCGATGTACTCTATAAGTACCTATCTACCATTTTCCAGCTGTGGAGACCGTACATTACGTAAAGTGTAGGTAGTTAGATATGGTTGAACTATAGTCGCTTTAATAATCTGTAGAAGCGTAAACAAGATTATAGGCCAATAATAACAATTATATCTGGTTAACATGCAGACTCTCTTTACAAACTTTCCTTATGTTTACGACATCGAAATGAAAGTTCACTTCAAAAAGATTTAGAAAAAATCTGTGTAACGATCTTTATGTTGCATTCTCATTTTGTTTCTAATGGTTTGATTTATTTTACTAAGCACAAATTAGCACGAACCTAGTTCAATAGTGCCTGTATGATACATTTTAAATGAAAAATACTTATGCTTATTTATACACTCGCCGTGTAACTGATAGAGCATCCATAATAACCTATGTTACCTGGCACTGGGGAACAAAGAACTAAAAACAATTAGATCAAAGCAGCGATGTGAGTGTAACAGAAAGGAAGCCCGAAATAAATTTCTATAGGTACCAAGATACTTGATCAATGTAAGTAGTAAAAGCAAACTAAAATTCTATAATAATAATATTGATATCTGATACAGGCATAATAACATTAATAGAAGATAAGCTTATTTATTCATAGTCATATTAAATTACTAGCTACTCGCCCCGGTTTCGTACGACTGTACATGTATTATATGTGTATATAAACCTTCCTGTTGTATCACTCTATCTATTTAAAAAAATCACTTCAAAATTCGTTACGTAGTTTTAAAGATTCAGATAAGCATAGGTACATAGGGACGGACAGACTGCAACAGCGACTTTGTTTTTTACTATGTAATAATAATATCAATATCAAGTATCATACTAACTATCGTTCTATCTACTAACTGGGAATAAAATTTAAAACATTTGAAAACAATTACAAAAGAAGTGACAAAAAAAACGGGCATACAGGCGCACTTATAAGGGGTGAAACCGTGTAGTATCTACATTAATATGACAGGCAATAAAATGTCCATAGAAAATTTCGATCCATAAAAAAATTGTATATAAATATATAATAGGTGTTCATTACTGTAAATGTAAAATGAAGTATAAAATACATTTATGGTTGCACATAAAGCAGCAATTTTTTTTTCACCCCAACCTACTTGAGTCTACAATTTCCATTATCTATGCTTCCACCCCCTGACGTCACAGTGAAAATCGACCAATCCCATTGGGTACAGACAGTACCCGATGGCCCTCGCAAGCGGAGTCACTACCGCGTATTACCTTTTACTTTATCACATAAATGTTTTCATAGTGGGATATATTACATGCAATTCAAAATGCAGTTCGTTGTGGTGAAACTTGTTTAAAAAATTATATCCGATGTCTACCTTGTGTTGTGAAAGACAATAGATATTTTATTTTTATCAAAATTAATATAGGTTTCTACAATTTTATTAGGGGGTGGTGCCGTGATGCCAGTTCGTAAGCAAGGTGAATTCTCGTTACAATAATATATTTTGAAATAAATTGTTATTAGCAAGAAGCGAGATCGTAGTGTGTTATAACATTATTGACGTATTGTTCATTTGTAGGGGGTTGCACAAAAGCACCCTTCTGTTGATTCGTATCGATAGCCGTAGTGTTGCCAGGCATTCATTGTAGTACAATCGTTGTGCTATAATCTCTACTGTAACTCCACGTGTCCTACATTATTTACATTCATTATTTTCGTTATTAGGTAGTGAGTTACGTAGGTACCTAAACTATCGATATACTTTGATATCTCACATTGATACGTAGTAGTCTGCTAGACAGGTACCTATATTGTTTCGATTTTCTTTATGTACAGCTATATATACTTACCTTTAGGTATCGATTCTAGTATATTATATAGGACATATATGTACATTATAGGTAGATATAAAGAGCACGTTTTACGTCGCAAAAAATGAAACAATTAGAATTCAATTTCGAGAAATAATAACAAAATATTGGAATAATAGTAAGTTGTATCCTCATAACTTTGTGAGTTTTGCTTAAATTAACATGTACGACGATGTACCTTTCTAACGGTGATGGGTAGAATTTCTCACATCGGTACAATAGTTCCGGAGTTTACTTACTTCATAAAAAATCATTATATAGCTGTCAGTCTTTATAATATTAGGGTATAGAATGTAGTTTTTTATATTGCATTTTTCTATAAAATGCAGTTTTCACGTATGTAGTATGGAATCAACAGAGAAGTAAATAAACTCTGTCAATAAAAAAAACATCAAAATAGAGTCAAGTTGACAAAAACTACATCATAGAAACAAAAAACATATTAAATAATAATTAATTAATTGCACAACATACACAACATGCTTTTCTAAGTTCATTAATAATGTTTACAACATTAGGTAGGTACTAATGAACTTAAAAAGAAGAAAAATCTCAACATTACAGATAGTATGCATTTGAGATATATGTACATACTAGCTGTTCCCGCGACTTCGTCCGCGTGGTATAATGACATTGACCATATAAATAAAATATATTTAGTTGGATTATAATCCAAAAAAATTTCACATAAAATATTACGATACTTTTTTAAGTGAAACATTTTTCGTACTAAAAAGTATAGCCTATGTCCTTTATCAGGGTCTTGACTATCAAGGTTATAGTGAGTCAATCTTAAAAGATAGACATATACTGTCGTGGATTTTTTTTAGATCATTTAAAGAAGAATAATTCTTCCATACATATTTTTGGGGTAACTTGAAACGTTTACAGCGCACGCAACGGAAGTCCTAAAATATGAATAATTTCCCCCGTTTTTGCAACATTTGTCACTGCTGCTCCGCTCCTATTTATCGTAGCCTAATGTTACATAGTCTAAAGCCTTCCTCGATAAGTGTACTATCTAATACAAAAATAATTTTTAATTTCGAACCAGCAGTTCCTGAGATTAGCGCTTTCAAACAAACTGTTTAGCTTTATGGTATAATAATAATATTAGTATGTATATTATATATAGATTTGAGATTCCATACTATTTAATATTTTGCTGGTTGCTCTCCAGAGGCCCATCGAGCATTAGAATTGCTGGAAGATTACCACAGCAAACTCGTGAAACCCCAGGATCGGCAACTACGGCTCGCCATCGAGAGGGTCATCAGGATATTCAAATCCCGATTATTTCAAGCTCTCCTTGGTAAGTCTTTATTATTATTTCATTAACTTTTTGCTACAGCTTAGAATGCATAGTATCATTTTATAATATATTTAATCAAGTAAAACGATATTTGGAGAATACTAAACAATAAACTTAACTTTTTCTCGACGGTTGAAACCTCATAGTCCTGAACATGGCAAACATCGTAACATTTTGTTTAGTGTATGTTCGATTTTATTTCTTTGCTTCGTATTCCAAAGAATTAAATTGTGTCACTTGGTCGACCAATGCTAATAAAACTACACACAATTTTTCACTGAAGTCCAATCAGAGATGTTCAAACAAATTGATTTCTATAGTTGTAAAATTGAAAATGCTTTGGTTCGTCACCAAAGCATTTTCATGATTATTGTAGGACTACAAATACTTTATTACTATACATATAATATAAATTTATAGGAGTAAAAAAATTGTTAGCATTAGGGAAGGACACAAACATTTCAGAGTTGTAAATAATGCCACTGTGACAAAGTTCTAAAGTATTTTTCTATATATATATAAAGAATAATTTTGTTATCTACCTACATAGTTCTGCTGGTCAAATTGTGAAAATATATATTTTATATAGACATTCTTTTAAATCTCACCTTACAAACATTTCTTGTACTTTCTTAGCTAAACAAATATATTGGTGTCATATATGTCATATATATCCTAGACGGGCTCGGTGGTCTAGCGGTTTAGCAGACCGGTTTACTTCCGATTATCGCGGGTTTGATTCCTAGCACGGTGTAAACATTTGTATTAATATGAGTATATCACTGTTTGTATCTATCTGGGTGTTTGATGTTTATATTATATGTATATATTTACAAAAAAAGAAAAGTAAATCACTTGTGTAGTACTCATAACACAAGCTCTACTTGCAGTGGGACTAGGTAGCGGTGTGTTAATGGTTCAGGGATATTTATTTATTTACTACTATTTATAAACTATGCACCTTAATAGCTTTCAATGTATAATAATAAACATTACCCAAGTTTACTTAGACTCTACTTAATTATTTCACACCAAATACAAAATATTATTAGATAGATATTTACTTATTGAGCAAGGAGCAAAAATATTTACCCATCATGTGTGTAAATCTTTGTTATTGATCTAAAACCGATATCGGTGCGCTAAACAAAATATAACACATAATCTACGAGTATCTATGCGAATACGTACAAGTGCATCCAGTACATCTATAATATACTAGTTGTTAGCGCCATTGGTCTGGTTTTTCAATAAATTTTAATTATTTTCTAACAAAGATAGGTGGTCGTCGTCGTGATGATATCTATAAGTATTTAGTATTTACGTTCGGAGTTTAGTTGCTAAAAGTAGACACAGTTTCACATATTAATATATATTCGGATAAGTATGGATGCTCCAACCACAGCTTCGCATGAGTATTTCAATTAATTTATGAGAAATCATAGCATATTACACAACTACACTTTCTTCATCAATCATTCTGATTAATTTCATATTTCATAATGGATGAAAACCGTAGAAGAATTCATTTAGTAGTATTTGAGATTCTCGCAAGTACACAGATAGACGTGTGTATGCATATAATATGTATCTGATGACGAGGATGATGAGTATATTATATGACAGAATATAAAACAGAGGATAATGCATAATTATTACCTTACACCAACAATTATTGCAAAGATCTCTATATATTTTTAAATATAATATCGAAGCTATATATTATTTACCGATAATGAAACATTCTACGTGAAAGAATTTTAAAATCTGTTTAGAATTTTTGAGCTTATCCATTATAAACAAAAAATAAAATATTTCTTCGTTATAATATTAGTTTAGACTATTATTTTACTGAAATTTAATACCAACCGATAGCATCGTGTTAAAAGATTGTGTTTATTTAGATTACCTATCAACCTAGAGAATGTATTGTAGGTGCACGACAGGCAATAATAAACATTTACTTTAACCTATTCTTTTAATTTTAATATTGTAACATACTCCAGATCTATTTCACATGTACCTAGTAGCGGAAGAGTGAAAATAATTCATTTATGAAAAATCGTAATACCGATATAAGAATTCACTTACATAGGTGTTCTTTTCTTTTTAAGAAAGACATGTGCAACAACAGAAGTACTTGAGTTTTACAGTCAATTGTTTATTCCTTCAATACAAAACTATTCTATAATATATCTATTGAACCAATCTAGACTTTGAACAAGTGGGCGACTCCGTCTCTACTATTTCAACCACAAAGCAACTTGCTGTGTATTCCGGTTGAAGAGAGAGTTTAGATATGACATTAAAATTACGGTGTATATAAAGGAGTCATTACAGTTCTTTATTTTATTTATTTATTTATTTAATTCAGGCTACATGGCCCATATTATAAATACCTTATAGACTAACATACATAAGAAATAACAATAAAATATGAAAAATAAAATTGTCTCTATGGTCACGGCACTGACGACGGCAATCTGCCACGGTAGCGCCGATAGACCACCTCCCTATTACAAGATCAAGCCAATTGAAGAGATTGATCATCTCGTAAAATTCATACTAATTTGCTGCAACTAGAAGAACCTCTACTGAGTCACTCAGTGGACTATTAAATGTAGCTGTCTCATCCACTAGCTGCCGTATTTCTCTTTGTTAAAATAACCAACTATAGATATTTTGAAATAAATTAATATGGCGCTTTGTACCCTTTGTACATCTGCACTAACGGTATACACTAATGGGGCACCAATGGAGTATAATAGAAAAAACATAAAATCAGTTGGCCTATTATGGCGAATTGATCATATCACAATGTTTGTTTTATAGATGATAATGGAATGTACACCCGTCTGCGCTAAGGTTTTACGCTGGCGGGGCACCAGTAGAATTTGTCATGGTGGTTTCTAGAGGAAACCACGTGGAGGTCAACCTGACATGGTACATATAGTACAAAAGGGTTATCAGTCCACATTACTAAGAATCCCCTTCATCCAAACACAATGGTTGATCCAGGAAGATTGCATGAAGTTCGATCGGGGACCAGCTATATGTAGGTGGGGTTGGTATAAATATATGTGTGCAATATATATCATATATAACTAACCTATATCTGAAAATATAGGTAGTATAGATTACACCACTTACTCACATGACATAGCAATATGACCACTAAAGGTCACCAATTCACACACACACGCAACCCGCAATGTACTGTAGCTAGTTTTGGAAAATCTCGTCAGTGACCACATATGTACATATATATACATCTTTCATGAGGCATAAGTACCAATGATCTCTACATACTTGGGCATAATTTACAATATGCATTTGGAATTGATATTTGCTAAGTACGGGAAGTAGTAATTAATAGCTAATTGCGATAGTTTAGTTGTTGAAGGGATCAACCTCTATCGGCATATCTTGCTATAAATAGATATCTACACTAGAAAATGCGCGTGAACGCACCGCGCGTCACAAATGTTCTTGAATCTTCCTTGACCACGACACTGCTATTGTCCGCATCCGAGCCGCATTATATTTAGCCAATAATGAATATTGTGTATTACTCGTATCAACAGCATTAGAAATTAATCAATTCAATTTGATAGCCTAAGAAAAATCGTCGCAGCGTTGTGATCGATTACTACCCGACTTTCCCTACACGACACTACGTTGGATTTAAATATAACGAGTAATATCAATTATTACGTTCACCATGACTTCGATTGTTGATAATGCCTCTGACTACCCTTTATGTGATAACAGTCGTGACAGAAAAAAACATTTGTATTTAATCGGAAATTTAAAAATCGGCAATTTCCGAACATCCCTCTTATGCGTACTGAATATTCATTTCTCAATCTCAATCCTTGAGTCGTGACGTGTTCAAATTTACAATATGTGAATAAACTACCATTTTTATCATCGTCATATCACATCAATGTCTACTTACCATAAATTTAATAAATAAAATTAGCCTAGTACAATCTATATTTGTAAAAACCTAATTGAGATGAAACTCATATTGACGACAGCCCTATCGATCTATCTAGGCCTAGCAGCTGCCCTGATTTCCAGAGAAGCGCACTAGGTATTAACCATTGAACTAAATACTATGACATACTTTATGGTATACCGTACTACTTATCGTTTATCTACGAACTACCGCAACGATTAGTTGTGCAAGATAAATATAATATTAAGTTTCATTTAATTCAACAAAACAAACAATACTAGTATTGTTTGTTTTGTACAATAATAAGTAATAACATTTCCTACTAATGTTATGCAATTTTTAAACGACAATGCCGAATATAGGTTGACAAGCGAGGAGTTAGTGTATACAGAAAATATATAAACGATAGACCACTGTATTTTTTTTTAACCGGAGATAGAGAAGGCATATAAAATTGTTATGACAATTAATTAAAATTTTCTCTATTCATTCCAATTATGTATCCGAGGCAAACCCAGTGGCAACAGTCTCTATGCTCATTTATATCATTTCTACCTACTCCAGCTTTTTCTGTAATATCACAATTTAAATGTTTTACTGAGATATACATCTCTATATCTTAACTGCGTTAATGATAAAAAGAGAATAAAATATTTTCCAATGATTAATCTGGGAAACCAATTACCTATTTTTTGCCAATATTGTTCGAAGAATTTGTTGGTAGAGTTTAAGGTATTTTATTGTGATAATTACGATATTATGCTATTTTATTATAGTAGTAAGATTCAAAATTTTGTAATATAAATATCTCTCAAAATCTATAAACCACTGCCTTACTTTTCACCAAATTTATTGAAAGTCGATAGAATCATATAAGAGTTCGTGACATTTTATTGCGGTAATTATACTCCAACTGTTTCAAATTCGTTACATCATCAACAGGAAAATGTCAAGCAGACATAGTATCTATAACTAATGCTATATTATTATAAATTTTATTAATTACTTTACTTCGTATAATATGTGTTACAGTTCGCAGTTCGATTAATTTATATTTGGCATTCGAACTGCCTAAAGATCTCGTACGTATCTATTCTGCTAGGTCAGATGGCAATGTTATACTATGGTAACATTGACCTGATCTGATAATAGAGCTAAGGGTAGGCAAAGTAACTTCATCTATTGTACTAAGATTATTAAATTACGCAAAAGAGTATGTTGTTAAAAAACTGTTTTACAGTCCAAAGACAATAAATTGTACTTCGAATCGCAATTATTCTGTAAGGTAGTAAACCTTACAAGTACAATCAGGTGGATTGATGTGTTACCGTATATATACATACTAAATAGTATGCATATTGTAAGGTGCAGTTTTCATTACGAGGGCATAGATAGTTACATTGGATTAACCTTGCCCTGTTAGTTTGTACTTGATTGCAGCTGAGCGTAAACATGCGTCATCGGCTTCACACCACACACGAGCTGGTCAACGTTATATGTAGATATGTATCAAATTACATGCAATCTGTTTATTTGTTGAAATTATAGCCACTTATCAAGTAATGTAAAAACAACTCGATTGAGTTGATAACCTCTAAGTAGAATTATGATTTTTATGATATCGATGTAAATTGCTGATGTGTAATGCCACTCATTAGACATATTACTGTTTGAACACGTTATTATTTTACTAAACATGTAAATTATACGTTTGAACAACATAATCTATGCAGTTTCTTGAGACTTTTATCTTTGTGGGCCAATCAATATAAGTATTAATTGTTTATTGTAATATATTTTTTATAAAATAATACACCACCACAATGTGTTTTAATAACCTCATTCTTCTTCATTATTTATTAATACATATTTAATTAGCTTAAATTACAAGTTACATTAATTAATTATTTAATCTTAATGAAGTGGTTCTTCACAATATAAACGATCTGACGTATTATTATAAAGTCTAGAGAAAAATTATAAAGATGGTATCTAGCCGACATTACAAAAGAAGAAGTTATGTACCTTATGTCTTATTGAATTTTTATGTCAAATAGGATAAAGGAACATACTCGTTCCTACCTATATTCGTTTGTAAACTAACTCTTACAGTTTCATTAAACTTATTACCTACTCACTAAATAAATTAGTAATGCTTTAAAACTTTTCCAAGCATGTTGCTGTATTGACGTTGGCATGTAGAACTGATTACTTATCGCGGAGTTCATCAGAATGTAACTCTTTCCAACCAAGTCATTATTGTGTACAAAATAAGTAGGTCATGTTATCGCTTATTTTTAACTACTTGTTCTTTAAAAAGAATTTGGCCTATATCTAGTAAACATAATTATACAAAAGTTGTTGTGTAGCTATTTTAAATTTAGTATTAGTAACTAGAAAAAATAGGTTTATTATTTCTCTCATTTTTAAAAAACTATGATATTAATAAATTTTTATAAAATCCTCGATGTCAATTTAATACTTAGATACAATTAGTGCAAATTTTGTTCGGTATACGAGTATAATAGTCGCCAAGTTATGGTGGTAGTTTCAGAAACCATATAATTACATATACTTACTATAAATGTATTGTTTTATGTATCACACGGAAGAATGTATGTAGGTACGTGTACATACTTTTGGCGATAAAATGATCGAGGATTGACAGAGGGTTATGTACCTGGTTGGTGCGCTTTTGTAAACTACGGTATTCTGTGCGATGGTCCGTTTGACCCAGATCTCTAGATACGGGTCACTGGATAGGTATACCGGAGTCTGTAGCTTTCTGCACAGCTCACTCTTGGCCCTTTTATAATATATGTTTACCTTTACTCCTAATTTAATAAAAATATATTTGATAAACATCCTAAATGCACAATTTATTAATATTTTATCCAGTAAGTAATAACTCAATAAACAAAAAGATTATTATACCAATTTATACCTAGTGTACTAAAATCCATCAGCTTTTTAAGAAAAGAGAAACCTATAACATACTCGAGGTATAATAGTTAGTAATTTTATGTTATTATGCGATAATATTAATAATAAAGACATGTATTTGTTTGTACTATATATTACTTCAAAATGAAAACCTACTGGCAACTGCGAAAGTGAATCCCACTCAGCATTTATACTGTAACATAACCAAGTTGCCATAGCGTTGATTTTCAGTGCGGCTACCAGACACGACACAGCGTACGTACAGATAGCTAATGAAATAAAAAATACGACTAAGAGTATTTTATAAATAGATACGACAATAAATCTATAAATTAATGCAATTTTCATAGATGGATCTTGAAGTGAAAATGCTTATGTACTGTTTTTTTAATATGTATATACATAAAGAATTTCTATCGTATATTTATATCAAAGTTCAAAGACAATCTGTGGCTCTATATAGTCGTAGTATGGACGAACGACCCCTTAAAAAAGGTTTTTGTAGTTTAACCAAGCTAAACTCCGTAGGCAATGAGCAATCGCTTTCTGAAATTCTCACTCAATTCTACCTATCTATTTTCACTAAGAGAAAACTGTCTGCCAAATTTCTATAACCATACATACAAGTCTTCATAAAGGTTTAGACATATAGAACGAAAGCGATAGTGTATACATAGAAATAACAGGTGAAAATACCAGTAGTACTACTACTATGTAATATTATATTATCTGTAGTACGACTACTACTATTAGCAGTATAGTAAATGTTCACTAATGAGTACAATTTCAAATAACGGATAATAGTCGTAGTGACCCAATGAACGCCTATTTAGCCCACTCAAGTCTAATGTATCAAGTGATACCTGATGGACGGGTAAATTTTACTTATCTTTATACGAGATAATAAAACAGGAATTTAATGAAGGTCTTTGTTCGTTACATATCATAGCAATAATTTCATCGTACATTAACCACGGCGGGGTCGCCGCCCATTCAATATCGATCTTCGACACAACAGAACTCACGCGATACCTACCTAGTTTGCATTGCACTACTCGTGGAGACCTATCTACAGTACATACAGCACGATTAATACAATCTCAGAAAATCTTCTTCAGACTCTTGCATTTTACTAATTATAGTTATTTTTAACCTCATAGTAAATAAAATTTATGAAATTTTTCTATTCTATAGTACAATGCAGTGACTTTTTAAATTTGTTCGTTACTACATTTAACATTCATGATAATCCATAGTTTGATATACTTAGATACCATATTTAAAATACATTTGATACAAAATTACAATTAGAAGATGATGAGAGAAGTATAAATAAGACAAAATCTGAACTATTTTTTTACAAATGTTATCTATATTGAACTATTTTTTCATTACGGTTTACTTGTTTACTTTATTACTTTCCTGCACCAGTACAATATTTTTATATTGGAAATAAATAGTTACTAGAAAAGGTCGTCCTTTTTTATATTAGGATTTCTTCCATACATACTCGCGATAGTAAAAAGTAATTACGGAAAGAAAGGTTTCTATAGGAACCAGCGTTAATTTGAGGCAAATTAATACAGCCCCCTAGAGACGTTTTAGTTAATTGGCTTTATTCTTATTGATGACAGTGAGAAACATTTTTAAGTAGACATACTAACCTACGACTTTGTCTACAAGTGTCTAGGACAAATTTAATAAACAGTATATAAAAGTACATTATTACCACAGATCATACAAGTATGCACGGTTGTTCGGTGTTCGTTACTCAAACGTAACGAACAATCTTTCACAATATTAATATCGTGTTTTCTTTACATCTTTTTTTATTTATTGAAATATTTTTTAAATATTTTGATTTTATGAAAACTCATATTGCTTGTCGTTGATTTCAGATATCCAAGAGTTCTACGAACTCACTCTTCTCGATGACACTAAATCGGTACAGCAGAAAACTGCTGAAACCATTCGCATTGCCAACAAATGGGAGGCGGATGGTACACGCAACCGCGAGGTAATCCAAAGTTTTAATCTGGTATCAAAAACCGTAGTGGAACATTAGCATTGACTTCACTGATTTTCATCTTCTTAACTCAAATAAGTAGATTAAAAAGAGATATACTCTACGCTATGATCCAATGTAATGGAAAGAGAACGCATTTATAGGAATAAAATATCTTATGCTATGCTTAAGTCTGTATATTATAATAAATGTGCAGAGAAACGTAAAAAAAACAAAAAGCATTCTTCATTCAATTTTTAATTTTTAAACACCTACTTTATTATATGGGTACTATAAATATGTTGTTGGTTTGTTACCTAATGATGCTTATATAACTTAGTTAATTTAACCAACAATGCGAATTTAATATCTACCATAGACACCTAACTAATACTTGGGATGAAAAAAATCAATAGAGTCTTTTCATGTAAGTCAATTCTTAGTCAGGCGAAAAATTCGCGTGACAAAACAAACCTTATGTAGAAGTGCTGCTGCTGCTTTATAATTACTCCGTGATGCCTCAATGCCCAAACAATTTATCAACGAATTGTTAAAAATCGAATCAATACTGCAAGCGATGCAATTAACGCATAACGAACTGTTAAACGTTTGAAACTTTAACCTTTTATTGAACTTGTTAGCATATTTTAAACCGATACAGAGTTGTAAAACAGCAACAGCGGGCATTATGCTATCGTTAACAATTTGCAAATATTGAACAGATTTAAAAAACGCTTGAATACTATTCGTAGCATGACAATAAATGACGTAGGTACCTACTTGTATTAGTACTATGTGAAAATCAGTGTTTACCTACACAATGTTTACTCATCGTGCATGGACTTGTGGTTTGTTACTCGTTTGTTACAGTCAAACCTAGGCGACATTCAATTAAAAACTTTGTGTTTCTATTCAAATTTATGACTTGACAGTTGGTGAAAAACACAAAAATAATTAGAAAGCAGCTGGTATATACTTACACGTACACACTGTCATATAGGAGTAATATATGGCTCCGCAGAATGTACCTAGCTAACTATCGCTCTAGAGTTAAGGTGAATGCAGAACATTCACCTTAACTCTAGAGCGATAGTTAACAAAAGCGCTGACTACCCCTTCGATTAAATTGCTGATATATTTATTTACTTATTATTAAAGCATAACATTTATTTATCGCTTAACGTATTGTATATTACCCAGATACCATCGGAGGAGAGTGATTATAGATCAGTATCAAATGCTTTTCTTCAAGACAACAACAGGAAAACAGAATCACGAAATGAATCTCCAGAATCGGCTAAGGTTTGTGTTTATTATGTTTTTATTATAAATGTTCATGTATTTACTTATTTCAGACTACTAATGGCCCATAATATAAAAAGTTTATGAACACCTTATGAACATACAAAAGAATATAAATATAAAAATTGTGTTTATGAACACGTATACCTATATACAGTTTATATCGTCATGACAAATGACGAACAGTTTTTCCGTATGTTTAAACTCTTAGGTACTTCTGGTTCAAGTAAAGCGATTATCTCTCCTTCTTCTCCATAAAACATTTCTTATACAGTATATATGTAGGTATATTTTAAAACAACACCATAAACTTTACCGAGGTAGATCACAGAACAGAAAAGTGTTCTATTATTATCTACATGAATACATATCTTTTTGTTCTATTATATTTAGTTTAAAAAGTCAGTTAAGATAGTGAAACTACCGGAAATGAAGTCATGACAGCTTAGCTCTCCGGAATGGCAACCCAGGAGTGGTGCTGTGGGCGACACAATATAATGTCATATTCGTTATACTCTTAATGAGTGTGTGTATATACAAAGACAATTACCTACCTCTTAGCATAAGGTGGGTAACTTCTTTTATCTATCCAATTATATAAAAATAACTGTTATAGATGGCAGCCAGTATACACCAGCTCGTCATGGCTCGTAGTGAGGCCGAGGAAAAAAAGGTATGCATTTTGAGTAGATACCTAAAATCTTAGGAATAATATGGTAATAACGTTCTTCCTGATTATAATTTGATGAGTTTTTTCACTCCGTCCTTACCTTCTGTAATATTTCCTGTCTAGAAACTAATTCAAGTCCAAGTCAAGTCCACGAGGCATCTACTGTTAGTTAAGGAGTTCGAAAGTTTTATATATTTATTTCTATAGGGAAGGCATAAATATTTACAATTTTATTTAAAAAAAATATGTATAGGATATATTAAATTCGGTAAGTAGAAACAAACCCCTATGAAATCGAATACCTACATATGACAACTGTTTTATGTAGTTTAAACTGTGCTTTCTTGACGTAAACAAAGTAAACAATGGTGAAATTTTATTGATATTTAATGTATATCATACCTATATAATACGATATACAGTTTTTAGAACCTAACATAAGTATTTTATACAAGAGTACTTTGTCATAATAAAACATTAGAGGGTTATTGTGACAGGGTACAAAAATTGTTTGTACCTTAATATTATTCCTCGTGCACACAATTTGAAGTGCAAATTTTGTCTGCAATTTAGGAATTTTGAACTACAAATTTGAACAGAAGAAGATAATTCAAACAAAAATAAAGTCGACAGAATGTTCACGTATTATGTTTAGAGAATTTTTTTGCTATGGAATACTTTTTTACAAATAATGCTATAATCTGACACAACGCATGTATGTATGTGGAAGTGCCTACGTTATGTTTTATTAAATAAAATAATCAGCCATGAGAAATCGCTGAAACCAAATCGAAAGCAAAGTTGTAGTTTGATAACAAAGTCGCTAAAGCATTTAACATTATACTGACTTAGTAGGCAGATATGTACGTTAATCATTGATTATCGAATACAAACTAGGTACCTAGTTAAATACAGTCACATAAACTAATGATTATTATTGTATAAGTGTAAATAATTTAGTACTTTGTCATAGTATCATGTGTATAGGACCTACTTATATAGTTATATCATTATGTTTATGATCCCAGACGAGGTAGCCAGAGGCATTGTCAATTGTAGACGTCGCGTTGTAGTCAATGTAGCACTTGTCATGTCCAAATTTGTTGTGTTGAATTTGGTTTGTTATAAGTATTTCCATCACAGAAGAGTCAGTCAGAAATACAAATTGACACACAGAGTTTATTTGGTGCCAGTCAGTATTGAAAGCTGCTGTTACGACAGATACAGAATAAGTATGTACCTAAGTTATAATTTATTACATACGAAACGTTTTCAGACTTAAAAAAATATAAACAATAATAAAACACTGACTTATTCTTTATGGTCTGTTAGGAGTTCGTATTGTGCTATTGTAGTGCATGACGTAATAGCCAGTTGGATGACAATAATAGTTACTTTTTTATATCAAGAAAATGTGATAATACTCTAGTATTGATTAACATACTTAGAAATGTATATAAATGTAATTATTTAATCACGATTGTCTGTTTCTAAATCGTATATATTTCCTCTGATATTATAACTTTTATTTTTAATGCCCTCTGGCGGTTAAACAAGTTAACTAACACATCTATGTATAATTCCTTCTATTATAAACGGATTCAGTAAATTATTTCTTTACTGAATCCGTTATGAGATATTAATAAAAAAAAAAATACATATTTTTTTAAATATGTAATAGTTAAATGGTATTATAATATTTATACAGTTCATACTTTGTTTATTCTGAACAGTGCCATCTAACGGTACACCAAGATATCACCATCAATAAATCGAATCCGAAAGAACATACGTACATGACGTGCTTGAGTTTTTTTCTTTACTTTGATGACGTGACATCTGTGAAGGTGGATTCGTGATTTCGTGAACGCTACATACAACAAGTGGTCGCTAATGGCGGATAGTTGGTGTTTCGCGTCTCGTAGTACTATTTATAACCTAAAATATAGTACAAGTTTTCGGCGATATGTACGCTAACGTTTCTTCGTTGTGTGGATTGGTGCCGTTATATATTACAATTGTGCCAATGACGTACGAACACTACATCGGCTGAGAGTATACTCGCAGATGATAATCAGTGAAATGATATTGCACACAAAATTTTGACATTCACACTGCTGATAATTCGTATTCGTCGCAAGTAAGGCCATTTAATAAACACTAATCTATTTTTAAACCTTTAGTAATTTCTTTACACTTTGGGAACGATACTGAATCTTGGTGAGACTAATGCGACTTCTCGAGTTAGTTTTGCTTGTCAAACAATCTGCTGTGTTACTAGCTGATGATTATACTTACCTATTTAATGCCCATTGAATTTATTGCACACTAATAACGTAACACGGACATTTTAATTAAAGTTCATCGCTTTGACATTCATACCATCCTATCATCGTACACAAGTTGGTAACATGCCTAATAATTACCTAGCCATACATGTATCTACTAAAACTCGCTATCAGAAAAGGGCTCGGCTCCAATTGTTACATTCATTAGATAAGGATTGCTGTAATTTTTAATTAACCTAACATGATTAATAGGCTTAGTTTGTGGGAACATTTTGTAACACGAAAAGAATATCAGTACGTGCATACACCTAAAAGAGGTCACCTAAGTTGAATTGTTTTGGTGCAAGTTAGAAATGGGTTCTAGGTAGAGAATGGTGCATGCAGAACATCGTCAAGGTGCTGACAATGGACACCAGTGTGTAACTAACAATGCATGAAGTGTACATAGTATAATAAGGACACCAGCATAAGTACCTGAAGGCTATGCACTCTGACTCTCCAAAATGACGGAAAGGCGAAAGAAAAAAACTCACAATGGATTCCTGCGCAAAGTGTCCTCCCTATTTAATCTTGAAACGGTAAGTCAGTACATTCCCGTAAATAAATATGGGTCATGTAATAAAATATCAGGTGGAATTTCACCATTGTTACTCAAATGTAAATAAGGAAATTTAATATTAGTTATCAAGCTTCACTGTACTTGTTAGATGTAGGTATTACATGCTATGTGAGATTCTACCATGCCAGTGATGGACTATAATGATATAGTGAAAGTTTAAAAGTGATTTAAATCTACTTAGTTAAAAATGTGGACTCTTAATGAATGTGTAGATAAAGTTGTGTTATTCCATTTACCTACTTAAATTTGGGTAACTTGGTTCTTGTTTCTTTCAGGCTCACATTACCTCACCTGAAATGAAGCAGGTATGTCTATGTACATTTTTCTTTATTCATATTATATTGATATATATTATTACCCATAATTGCAGTTAATCAACACATGACTAATCTTGTATTTATAACTATGATAAGGGCTATTTGAGTAAGTACACAATCTATATTAAATTAAAACATGACTTGACTTGTGAATCATGGAAATTTTAATTACTACTATTGTATATATATATATATAGATATTATTTTGATTACCTGTATCATCATATAAATAAGAACTTATTGCTAGTAATTTCAATGGTTTATTTATTTTTCGTATTATGCTTGTATTCTTTGATTTGTCACTTAAAATAGAGTTAATTAGTAATTGTTCCTGCCATCTTATTGTTGAGTGTTAAGATTAAAATTATATAGTACTCCAAATTTTATATTACTATCTAATTCTAAAAGATAGTAAATATAATGCTGATATAAATATCCAGTTGTATATTCTTTTTAATGTATGTCATACCTTATATAAATAGAAAATACTCAGACAAAGAATAACAAATTTTTATATCCTGTAAATATTTAAACGAAATAATTGTAAATATTTAATTAAATTTATTCAGTAAGCCAGTGTACTAAACCAAAATTAGTTGCGTAGTATTTAAATCTTCTCTAGTATCATTATTACATCTTCCTTCATTATGAAAGAATATAATAAAACTTATGTCTTGTAATAGTGATGATCTAATTGCACCTATATGAAAGTTACAGGTAAATGGCATTGAAGGGGGCGGCACAGAGCGTACACAAGAGGAGGGCTATTCATATATGAATGTGGTGCTATCGCGGACGGGCGGCGCCGGCCTCGGGTTCAGCATTGCTGGTGGGTCGGACAACCCACACGTGGCTGACGACCCCCACATCTACGTCACTAAACTTATTCCAGGCGGGGCGGCCGCCGCTAGTCAGCTGCAAATTAATGACGCCATATTACAGGTGTGTTTACATTATTCTTATCCATATATAGATCATGGTATATTATTCCACTATTGCTGAAAAGCATAATTACTTATGAATCTGGTATAAATTTATGCTCTTCTTAAATAGTGACAATGAAATTGTGTAAAATGACAATCAAAGTTGTAAAGAAACTTTGCATGCATTGTTCATTCATTATTCCTAAGTTATTATTTATGGTTTAATGTTATTCATATTCAGTCATAGTTATTACTATATACATACATACATATTTCAAAATGTAAATGATTAATCAGGAAAGATACTCCATGATATTTGGAAGCTTATAATTATGTAAGAGAACATGTACATCAGGCATCTGAGCGCAGCAGATGGCGACAGCTGGTCGACAAGATAGTATAGAGTCACGATCCTCAGTAGTGAGGGAATGATTAAGAAGAAAGAGAATATTTCTATATTTATAAGAAATCACAATTTGTAATAATAAAAATACTGAAACCGAAATTCTTTTAGCAATGTAATATGCTTTTATATATTGTAAAGAAATGAAAAAATTTAAGACTGAAAGCACTTTGTAATCCTACTCTTTATTGGTCAAGGTCATTGAAGTCATAATATTTGTTTGCATCAGGTTAATGACACTAATGTAGAACAAGTTACGCACGCCGAAGCAGTTGATGCATTAAAGAAAGCAGGAAATACAGTAAGACTGGTATGTATAATTTTATTTGGAAATGGTACTGTATTTAATTAAAATAAAATATTTCAAAATCTAATTTAGCAGACTTGCGGACCTAAATGTCTCTGATACTATTTATTTTGTTTTCGTTTACAGAAAGTGAGACGTCGTATTACAGAAGACACATTAAATGTATCGCAAATCACAAACAAAGAAGAGGCAGTAGAGATAGAACTTGTTAAAGGTGGCTCAGGGCTTGGATTTAGTATAGCAGGTGGTCTCGGTAACCAGCACATTCCTGGAGACAATGGTATCTATGTTACAAAAATAATGGCTGGTGGTGCTGCACATAGAGATGGCCGTTTGAGAGTTGGAGACAAATTGTTAATGGTCAAAAATACCTCTGTAAGTTTATTTCAATAATACAATAGTAGTAGTGAATAAGCTTAATAAATGTAGTATTTTGTTGTACAAACCGAGCATCTAGCTATCAGCACTTTAATGTATTAGAATAATATGTATAATAAAAATAACAGAAATATAAATAAAAAAACTGAGTAGAGCCTATGTTATGGATACTAGACAACTGATATAAATATTTAAATTCATTTATTTGTATATATATAGAAAACACAAACCAAATTATACTCATAAATACTAATGTTTCCACTGTGCAAGGAATCGAACCCAGAACCTTCGAACCAAGTAAACCAGTGTGCTAACCTGCTAGACCACCAAGGCCGTCGTACAAAAGAGCCAATTACGTACGACCTTGAACTAATTATTGCAAGTTCACTGACTAAATCTTTGGACTGATCACACATGCTCCCACCAAAATGTGTGTTGTTTATATTTACGAAATGAATCATACCATGATTATAAGTATAAATACTACTATGCAAGCAAAAAAATGTGTGGGATATGTATTTGATTATTATCAAATAGTTTGTGGGCTATCTAAAGAGTTGAATAATATTCAGTACAGTAATGAAGTTGAGGATACTCAACAGACTAAATATCCTCTATACAGAATAAGGAACCTAATAAATCTATATAAACAACTTATTTGATACAAACACATATTTTAGCAATATGTAATTGTGCAACAACACATATAGTATGAATAGTACTATTGATTTAAGTACTTTAAATTATCTTCACAATATTGCTCATATTTTTATTTTCTACTTTGGTAGTGTTGTCTGCATGGGTACCTCTTTTCCCCCTGCTTTTGTCACAATGCAGCTTGCTTTGTATGCAATGTTTCTATTAAAGGGTGACATATAGCAGTGAAATAACAGGATACGGCGGCATGGCATATTAGTTCTCCAAAATGACAATGCATCAATGCATTACTATAAGCATTACATAAACATGTAGAATTTAATATCTATGGTGCTGTTTTTATATATATGCAATGGTTATTTACTGTCATTTGTTTATCCATTCTACTTATAAAAAATCTACTAGTTCTTTCTACATTAGTTTTCCCAACTAAAAGTATATGAAATTTATAAGAAATGTAAATTAAAATTTTTCTTCATATGTTTGAAAATATATTTACTGTTTCATTAACTTCACTACGAAGTTAATTCTTTAATTTAATAATTTCTTACTTTAGGAAGAACCTATTACCTATTATTTAAATGTCATAAGTGAACAATTAATTTTTTTTGTGTTATAAATTATGTAGGTATATTACTTGTGGCCTAAGTATTTTAAAAGGTTACATTACGTTACATTGACGCAGTACTGTAGCTATACACTGTTTTATTTAGTGGGTCCTTTGTGATTCTACTAAATACGTTCGGTTTGCAGCGCGGCGACGTGGATCTCGACAACGTGACGCACGAAGATGCTGTGAGCGCGCTGAAGGCGGCTGGCGAGCGCGTGCTTTTGAAACTCATCCCGGGTCCACGGCACGCGCAGCCGTCGCCGCGCACCTCACGCGCTAACACACGTCAGTATCTAACATTTGCTTAGACTGCTATTTAATTAATGTATTTTTTACATGTATATAGTCGTGTACATGAAGGACTTAATGGCCTAATTGTTGCATAAAATAAATAAAAATGTACCGTAATAACTATGTTCCATGCAATACGATACACACTCTTAATATATTTGAATTAAATTGTGCAACTATTACTGAGGCGAGACTATCGCCTTCTCTCGATTATTTGTTTTGCTATTAGTGATCTCTTCACTGAGGAGGGATATAAGATAAATTTAGAAAGATTTTTTGTATACCTTTGAATTCCCGATCTTTTCGTAGTATGATACCTAACGACACACGTCGTTTTAAAATCGACAACTACCAGTTTTTCATGTACAATACCCTGACAATATTAGCGAGGTGCCAAAATTGACACAATATTAGTATTTTGTGGTATAAATAATCAATTATAACTTGAGCTATTACTTATCGATACAGCGTCGAGTACGGCAAACTCGCTACGGCGCGAGGAAGGATCCGAGAGGGCGGAACGCGCGGAGAGCGCCGACAGTGCTGAAGAACCTCGCGTGGTTGAATTGGAGAAAGGCGGCGCCGGGCTAGGGTTCAACATAGTGGGCGGGGAGGACGGCCACGGGATCTACGTGTCGTTCCTGCTTGCCGGCGGACCAGCAGAACGCTCTGGCGAACTTCGCCGTGGGGACCGACTGCTGGCCGTTAACGATGTCGACATCACGCACGCCACACACGAACTGGCCGCCAAGGCGCTCAAGGTAATCCAACTTACAGATCACACGACACAAATATATAATCCTGGACAATTAACTCAGCGCCAACTAGTGCCACAGTAAGCAAAACTTTTGTTATGGGTACTTTTTTTTGTAAATACATGTAGAATATACATAGAAAACACGCAGACAAATACAAACAATTGTACTCATGAATATAAATGTTTGAACCCTGCATTCAGTAAAGTTACAGCTTGATTTTTTTTATTTCTAATTTTATAATATTCTATTCCAGGGTACCGGACAGCAAGTGAAATTGACAGTTGTATACAGGCCTCAAGAATACAACAAATTCGAAGCTCGTATTAATGAACTGAAACAGCACCACACTCTGTTAAGGACGTCACAAAAACGGTCTTTATATGTAAGGTATGTAACATAATGTAATGTGACATTTTTTATAGATAACTAACCTTTTATTATTTTTCATTTATGTAATTGAAATGGCAAACAATCTGAGAGCTCACTTGAGTAAGTGATAATTGTAGCCTATATACTTGACAGCACTACACAGCTTACAAAGCAAGCTGCTTGACGACCAAAATAATAATAATAAATTTTATTAAACCACAATTATGTACAGATATTATTTAATTTTTATAAAAAAAAATGCTGTGATTGTATGATCCTGGTTACTGAAATAAGCAAAACTAAGGTACTTTGCAAAGTCTACCTCTGTGTAAAATAATGTTAAACGTAACAATTTGTATTCTACATTTAGAGGGGAGTATTGATATATTAAATTATTTATATTTTATAATAACTTGCAAATTAAGGTATTTTTAAATCGGAAGAAATGGTTATTAGGTACTTAGATTAAGATTAGTATCTATGATTAGATTATGATTACTATTTTCGATAATTACACTAAAATTATAATATAAAATACACTATAAAGTATGAATTTGTATTTTAGATATTGTATGTAACCTTTTTTTACAATTATGTTTGACAACTAATATCAGTGGCTGATCCAATTCTTTGTATATTAACTTTTTATTTGATTTGACTGATTGTTTTATATAAAACTTAGAAATAATTATTATATTCACAGAGCCCTGTTCGACTACGACCCTGTGAAGGATGATGGACTTCCCTCCCGAGGGCTACCATTCCGCTACGGTGATATTCTTCATGTCACCAATGCATCTGATGACGAGTGGTGGCAAGCAAGGTAATGTAAATTAATAATACTTTTTGAACAATTTTAGTCAGCGTAAATATAAGCACTAACAATTTAATGACAGTATTGTTAAATATTCTGGAATATATATCTAAGGACCTATTTAATGCCATGTGGCCATATTTACTTATTACATTACATAGTACTTCATACATTTTCTAAAGCTTGGCAGAAAGACAATACGGTTTTGTTTCATGTAAACTGACATGATTTAAATATTTTTGGGACAAATTGGGAAATTGATAAAGGTCTATTCAGATTTATAAAGGCTTGACTCAATTTGTAGTTATCGAATGGATTTCGACAAATTGTCAATGTACATATACATATTTCTTAATGGCAACCATAGCCTGTAAACCTCGTAGCCTATCGACCTTATATCCTACTAACTTGCCATAATAGTACATGTGTGCTAGAAAATATTTTCGTACGATAAACAAAACACAGCTCTATCCTCTTAAGGAATAAACGTGATATAATTTACATAATGCAACGATAATTGTCTTTGTTATATATGTAAATTCGAGATAAAGAATTTTAATATAGTGAACGTGTTTTGCATTTAAATTACAGACGACTAGACAATACGGAGTCGGATGCAATCGGCATAATTCCATCAAAACGTCGTTGGGAACGAAAGCAGCGCGCACGTGACCGTCAGGTCAAATTCCAAGGACAAGGCACGCCCATTTCCACGGTAAAAAATAAACATTGATTTGAACTAGGGAGTATATATGAATAATTTTTAATATAATAAAAATTATTCATATATACTCCCCATACGCCATAAACTGCAGGGATCGGGGAGTCTAAGATTCAGCCTCATAAATTGAAAGAAAAACATACAATTTAAGAAAAAGAGCCATCATATTGGACTATTGTATAAAAAAACTGATTGCCAATTAGCTTTATTTAGAAAGAAAAAATATTTACTCCATATTTTACCGGAGAACTAAGTAACTTGTCTCCATGTGCTTTGATTTCACTACCTTACATATACTTCCTCGAATTACGTCTTACAAAGCCAACTGCATGATGTCTGAAAAAGATGATAAACCGATGTACCCATACTTTGTTCAAACTTACTTGTTTTATGTAATTAATTTGTATTTTGTATACCGTATAATGACATTGAATATCCCGTAATTTTTAATTGCAGAGTCAATCAACGTTAGAAAGGAAAAAGAAGACCCTATCTTTCAGCAGAAAGTTCCCATTTATGAAAAGTCGAGAAGATGGCAAATCAGAGGATGGTTCAGATCAAGAACGTAAGTTATTAATGAGACAGACATACGCTTTACAACTTATTACAGCAACTGTGACTCAATCTACACATTATAATTATATGAATTGTGACTAAAACACTAATTGACATAGAATTCTTATATAATTATCCTCTAATGTTATTAATTATATATTACAATTATAAACTATTAATACTAATAATATGGATCTAAAATAAATCCACAACTTTGCTTTACCACTGCCAACAGCGTCGCGTGAAACAGATTTATACAGTTAATTTTGTTACAGCTTTCATGCTTTGCTACACTCAGGAGGATGCTAACGCGGATGGTAAGTGCACAATATATCTATATACGTACTTATTACATTCGCTATTTTGCTGTTCGTATGTAGGTCATTACATTACGCAGTTTTTTTTCATGCGGCTGCCAATAACCACTGTATCCAGAGTTAGGTTCTATATATGGAGCTATTTGCTTGTTCTAACCACAATACTGTTTTAAATCATTTTAAAAGCAAAGGAGAGAATAACTTCTGTGTATTGATTATAATGTTCCTGTTGTATTCATAACTAAGAAATATAACCCTTAGTTCAATTTAATGTGATGAGTATGAAATGAAATTTATATTCTATAAACTATTAAAAAAATACCTGATCTTAATAGTGTGCCGTCTTTATTATTATTTATATATATTTATATATATTCTTGGCGGTATTGTACCTATTAGAAATACTGCTCAATACCACCGTACTAAACCAACAGGATACCAAATTCCAATAAATAAGAAAAACAAAGTAGGGGATTGTGTTTATATATTTTTACACATTATTCTTTACTATTATATTGTTATTCAAATACCGGATTTGTGTGAGTAAATTATCGCTTGTAGTGTTTATGGAGACGCATGGTGATGCCTATATAATAGGTTTAGCAATAATTTACAGTATCGGCATAAGTTATATATAATTATTGTCGCTTGTCGAATATGATGTTGTAGGCGACTCGATGACAAGCTATGTACTCATTACCTTTTGTGTGTTAGATAGCTCTAATTTTTATTGACAGCTAATGTACTACAAAACTGTGTTTTTTTGTCCAACGTAATTATCGAGACAATTTCAACGTCGTGAGCTGTCATTTATTCAGATTTTTTATTGTCGTTTTTTTTGTACATGTTCCAGCAATTTATATATTTGAAGTAGTCTAGGGAAATTACGCTGTTATATATCCTATATATCTGACAATGTATTATATGATCGTTGCGTTGCTAGCTTTCAAAGATCCTAGAAAAGTAGTACACTGTCAAATATACTGGATCGTACCGCTAGATGCATTTTCTCTTTTATAAAAGTATAAAAAAATAGAAACAGTATTTGACAGGAAACACGACATTGCGATTGTTTAAAAGTAGGTTATTTTACACCTGGATAATTATAATTTAATTGACATTGTGTAACAGTGAGTAACAACAAACATATCTGAATTTAATTACACAATATACAGATTAATAAAAACACATATTACGTTACATGTGTTACTTTACGTTCAATTTAAAAATTATTGTAAAAAAAGTATTTACATATTGTCTTAACACAGTTGTGTAGTAAAGTGATGGCTTAGACGATACAATTCGGTGTTCCACATGTAGTCTATGTTGAAATTAAGAATGGGTCGCAGCGAGCACACGGATTGGTTTGAGACACGTTCGGCCGCCGTCCCGTGCTTCTAGTTGCCTAACCGGAGCCAACATACATGTTAACATTCATGATAACGTATTTTTATTTGCTCTTTATGTTCCTAAACGCTACCTACTCATGAAGCTGCTAATTACAAACATTCTACATGTGACTACGTAATTACTGCCGGCAGTGTTGTAATCCCTATTAGTTTTGATACTGGCTTCTATCAAATTAGCGGTTCACCCATTCCAGTCCCGTGTCCATGGTGCGGACATTATTCATATTGCACACCTTGTGATAAACTTGTGTAACGTTAATTTTTCTACGTGTAGGGGAAATCTTGTACCGAGTGGAACTTCCCATGATGGAGGAGATAACGCTCATTTATCTCGAGGACGAGAGTAAGTTTTGGGAGTGAGGCGTAGCTTGCGAGTGCCGTAGCCGATACCTTACCTCCCGCATTCTGGTTATGATCATCAATTAGAAATGTAGTTTTCATTTCAATAACACTCCAGTTTTTTTATTATTTGTCATACTTTCTTTATGTTCAGTTGTTTTAATTCATACAACGCGATGATTCTAATAGCCTCTCCGCACTCGAATATAATCATCCGAGATCACGATAATGTTTGGATCATGTTTCAAAATTGTACTGTCACTCCGCGCTCATCGGCCCATGGTCTAAAGACCGCGGTCCACGCACCGTTAGCGTCGCGACGGCTCCGCGGGGTTTGTTGGGCTGCGTGGGGGCGGGGGCGGGGGAGGGGGGCACCGCGGGGCCACTGGAAGCACACGAGGACACGAGAGCCACCTCCGCTCTCTCACACAACTCGTAGCTGACGCTTCGGGCGCCGCGCATGTCGCAACTTCGCACGCGTACGCGCGCTTTGCCTTTAGTTACACACTACGTCACTAGTCACTAGCATGTTCAGATGTAAAATTCGACCTCACGACATACATCATTTGAGCTTGATTTAAGTTTTCAGAATTACGCTGTGATGGTTTATTTTAAAATTACTTTTGCTTCAGATGTTAGGGACGCTGTATTTTTTAATAGCCTTGCAGTCGTTGACATATTGGTATCATAATGTGTATATTCGCTTATTAGTATACTTTTGTTAAAGGCATCATTCATGGCAATTTATAAGCCAGAATTAAAGATTTCAAATGTTTTAAAGTTCACTGACTTTTCATATTAAAATTGTAATAAAATAATAAGTATATATTATGTAAATAATATAATACACTATTTAATTCTGGCTATATTTTTTTCTATTGACGTTTTATACATATCTAGCGTAATATGTACAAAAGCATGTAATTTATTTACCTAATGTTTCAATAGGTGTTTAATTAAATTTTGTTTACTTGTTCTTATAGTTTATAATAGTAGTAAACAACAATTGTGTAAATAATGAAACTCAGAGGAAGACCGTGTAGTATAAAGTATTTCAATACTAAAACTATTAGATGTTAATTTGCTCTTACATAACATTTTCAATCTTTAATTGTTTAATAATATTAAACAAGTATAATTGTAGATTATTTCTCATAGAAGATATTGCATTCTATACAATCATCATTTGATGGAAGAAGTAAGTTATATTACGATGATGATATCACCAAAGGTATAATGTCACATGCTATAGGTATTGCACGCAGAAAATAGAAAGCACGCATTGCACAATTTATAATTAAAATGGTATATTGGACATTGGAGTGGTGTATTTTTTTTATATTTTCCACTGAATTGTGTAAATTATAAAAATTATAATCAGTGTTTCAAATTCATAAATAATTTAATAAATTATTACGATAAATAATAAACACGATCATTTAATATATGTAATCAAATTGTACTGTGTAGAGGAACTAAAAATAAAATTTGTTTTTACTCTGCACAAGAAATGCTAAATGTTTCAAAGGTTTCTTTTCAAATTGAATATTTAGACTTGACAAAAAATATTTTCTGGGCAGGAATGATGTGTATGTAAATATTATACATTTACAGGCCAAGATGAGACGGTGCTGTCGTATGAAACAGTGCAACAGTTGACTATTAGTTACACACGGCCCGTGATTATACTAGGACCACTGAAGGACAGGATAAACGACGATCTGATATCTGAGTTCCCTGACAAGTTTGGAAGCTGCGTGCCTCGTAAGTTAACCCGTTGTAATTAACATTATGTCCCAACCTCTGCATTGAATTTCTTACCATAGTCTATTTTTTAAATCTCAATCGTTCTCAGTTTTAGTATCAGTCTATTTTTTAAATGTAGTCTACATTGACTATTGTAAATAAACCTAACACTAAGACCTAACTTTTTATTACTAAAATAAAAAGTTAGGAATGGGTACCATATGACAGACTAATCGTTTAAAGTTTCTATATAATTTCCACAACCAATTTATAAAATTCACGTACTTACTCTAATAGTTCCTTTACTGTTATTGAATTCAACAACACAATAATTCATTTTTGTTGTACCCGTACATATGTAAAGAAATATTTAAACTACTAATCTACAATCCAACTATTTATTTCTTTCAAACAGCTAAAGATTAAATAAGAATGATATTGCATAAAATAACCTCGGCCTATCTTGGATCTAGATGACGCTGTGTAATCATTATTATATTAAATGTTGTACCATAGACACGACACGACCCCGCCGCGACTACGAAGTGGACGGGCGCGACTATCACTTTGTGGCGAGCCGCGAACAGATGGAGCGCGATATACAGAACCATCTGTTCATCGAGGCCGGCCAGTACAACGACAACCTGTACGGCACCTCCGTTGCCTCCGTGCGGGAGGTCGCCGAGAAGGTATAATTTCTTCATTCTTCGATATATATTTATATGTATATAATAGAGCAAAAATGAACGACACTGGGTTGGTTCAAGTATGCAGTACGCCCAGATAAAGAGCATAAGCTTGATACTGACCTGTCAGGAATAAAGAATTCTTTTGAGCTTCACAAGAGTACCCTGTAAACAGTTATTACTGCCTATAGATAACACAACAGAGGGTCGGAATACGAATGCGCTCACACTGCGGTCGATTGGAGATTTACAAAACGCTTAATACAATCGACATTCGAAGACCCATTTTCATTATTTGATAGGAAGCAAATTCAAACTGATAAATTTCTGTAACATATGCTATGTGTAACATGTTGTCCATTAGTTGAATTTTTCTGTTTATTTGTTTGCATGGGTAAACTTAAAAAGTACTTTTATTTTAAAGAATATTTCATCCATAGAAAGGTACATATCAGCGATTAAAATATAGCCTACTATTCCAGGCGCATAAAGCCGCGAGATATAAGTAGTCTCATAAAATAAAACTGAATGTATTATGAAACAGGCTATGAATATATTATATATTCTTTGTATTGATCGAGTCCCCGACCAATGATGAATTGCACTTTACTAATTTAGGTCATGGGAGAAATAATTATTTGTCATACTTCTGTATACGTATGTATGCCACAACCCAGAGTCAGACAATTAAGCCAATATTGTATGCTATATTGCCAAAGGATTTCCGAGTAGTATAATATTATGTTTCCTTAATTGATATTTTATAGGGTTTTAGTAAGATTTTTAAAAGTATATAAAAATACCAGCATATCAAGTCTTTTTGTTTTGGCGAATTAATTGTTATTATTATAATTTGTATTTTTTAGGGCAAACATTGCATTTTGGACGTGAGCGGTAATGCTATAAAAAGATTACAGGTGGCGCAACTTTACCCGATTGCCATATTTATTAAACCAAAGAGTGTAGAATCTATAATGTAAGTATTTTTCTGTTCATTTATATTTTATTCTACGTTTTATTATTATTATTATATACCATGAATCACTTTCTTGCTATACAGGGAAATGAATAAGAGAATGACTGAAGAACAAGCCAAGAAAACGTACGAACGCGCATTAAAAATGGAACAGGAGTTCGCTGAATATTTCACTGGTTAGTATAAATGTATATAATTAACATTGTCTTACGCTGGCTAGACACCAATATGAGAGGATGAGCATGAAGTTAAGGTAGTTAACCCATCATGGGGAATTTCCTAGAACTTAACCACGAGGTTACATGGATATTGAATGTAGCATACATTGTTAGCAATTGAGCCAATAGTTCCCATTACGAACTATCCACCTCTCCCGCTGATTATAATAAATGTTTATTATCTTATAGCGGTGGTGACGGGCGATACCCCAGAAGAAATCTACGCGAAGGTGAAGGCGGTGATCACGGCGGAGAGCGGGCCCAACGTGTGGGTCCCACGTCGCGAACCTCTCTGAACATCCCTACCCCGCCCAGTCCCGTCCCACCCCCGCACAGTCCCTCCGCCCTACACTCGCGTACTTACCTAGTACCTACACAGTGCCTCGAGTAGACTCACGATTGTTTTACCTATGGAGTCGATTTCCTATTGGTTGATCGTCGACGTTACTCCTCGGTGTCTCCGTACACGAGTTCTACGATAGTGGAACAAGGTCGGAATCTCCCGTGTGTTTCGGTCACAAATGTTAGAGTAGACGGAAATGCGGGCCGCGTTAGCATCTTCTCGATACGGCATAGCAATAAACGTAGCAGCGACACGTAGCCCGTTACCGTATAAGCAATATAGTCCGCCGCAACCGGCGTCGCCGGCGGACACGCTGCGCTTTAGATAATCGTCTCGTTTTGACACTCCCTATTTCGATAGTTTGGCCATCGGATTTGTATTGCTGCTTATCTGATTTTGTTTAGCGTAACAAATTGTTTAATATTTTTAAATAAATGTAAATTTTCACTCGTGCATAAAGTTGTTTGTTGACCAGGATAATATTGTTAGATAGCTTTCACCGTAGAACACTATACGCTTATGTTATCGTGCAAGTATAATAACTAGCGGCAATGTTTCGTCGAATGCAATGTATTATAATCAAAACATTAATTATTTTACTAAATCCAATAATTATGCTTCAATTAACTGTATATTTATTGTATATTGAATAAATTTTTAAGTGGTATTATTCATGTTACTTTACTCAGGTTGCTAGATACATTTTGAATATTCGTCATCGTTAAGAATTTACTATACTATAATAGAATATGCAAATAGTGAAGTAATTGTACGAGACGAATCACGGTGCACCGGTGATGTTTAAAGCTATATATACCCACTAGTTGTATAGTTACTTATACTATGACGCTGTGTAGTCGATCCCACCTCACGCATGGCTAGGCTAAGACGTACATAATCAGAATTATTTGCTCAAGCGGCAATCTATATTGTAAACATTGAATCTCATGAAATTTTGCACACCCATGTCCCCTTGACACATTAGGTCAGGTGCAAGTTGTTTGTTGATCATTTTTATAGTAAGCAATTGTGTTATATAGTGTGAAATGTCTCACCAATTTAATAGTGTTTGACATTTATTTATTGAGAATTTTATTTTCTTACGGAATAATAAAATGCCCATCTGCAAATATGGCGATAATCATGGATATCTAATGTTTTTAGATTGCCTGTTAATTGACATGTTACTTACTCTTTTTTTTATCGTTAAAGCATGTTTTATATTGTGAAAAGTGCTGTTTGGTATCTTTTTATAGCGTTAGAAATAGAAAGTTGGGTAGAGCACTAGAAGCAGTCAATTCGATATTTCGTGCTGTTTTTCTGATTTAACTGAATGAACAACATCACATAATTCCTTTCAGTAATATTACATGTCTCAAACTTCAGAGACTTTACTTTATATTTAAAATATTATATTACTTTAGCCTCCTTTCTATTTCTATCTATATTTGCAGTCTACTTATTGTTCAGTATTTTAATATTATTCTAAATATCAAACTTATTAATGCAGAAATAATGTGTAAAGGTTTTTTTTACATACTATTATATCAATAAAAATTATACATTATTCACATGTACTTAATTTTATACAAAAAAGTGAATATTTTTACTTATTTTATTATGACAAATACAGGTTTACTGTAGGCAATTTGGATAATCAAGGAATCATGACTGTCTTCATTGGATTTGTTCTGTTATATTTGTCTGTGAGTCATTAATAAGACAATGTACCAAAGAGCTGTTCGACGGCACTAAAATTACCATTTCTTTTTATTGATTTGGTTTATTGGATTTCAGAGTGAGGCTCGTTGTGATTCCTTCAAAAGCGTTATTATGTAAATAATAATAGAAAATAAATTTTATTTTAATTTATTCTAAGTTTCTACTGATGTATTAACAATAATATGAGAATGTTTATTTTAATAGCTATTTATTTTATTGTTTAAGTAGGTATTCTATTTAATTAATGGAGCGTGTTAATCTGTGTAAAGTAATTTAGTGTAATTAATGTCTTTTTAACCCCCTTAGTTAACTTTTATTACAATTTTAACTTTATCCATATTTGCAGATGTACAATGTTTATGAGTTAGTGATGTTCAATAGAATAGTTTGAATAAAATTATTTACGTTGAAAATTCTATTATTGTTTCTTTTATGGCTATCACCCATAAGCTGTATATTATTTAGAGTAGCATTCAATTCGTGGACGAGATTTACAGAATTTTCTGTCAGTGTAATTGCATTTTTAACCCTATTGCTTGGAAAACCCTGTGCGTTGATAAATTGGTTCAATTATTGTTTTAATTAGAATGTATGGGCTGTCATTATTACTAATTTTCCGAGTGGTTTAAAAATAATAAATGAACATTGAATGACCCACCATATATACTTTTATATATATATATATACCATGATATTGAACGCATATGTAACTAAGAGTAAAGATTAATATTAAACCACATCGTGACTTTCGGTTCTCATAATCCTGATAACGTGGTTGTCGTAATTAGCAGATTTAACTAATTAAACTATAAATTTATTGCAATACACATCCAAATAGTATAATAAAACTATGAATCTATGAATGCGATGACTCCAACTGTCATGTTGACATTTTATATAACATCTATAGATAAGTGACATCAATCATATACCTGCCAAGTCACATACAAAGTATGAAATATAATTATGTATCGACCGGTCCCGTTAATCTTTGAATTTCTCGCCTTCTTCTGTACTATAAAATTCATATATAAAATATAAACATTCCCCTTGTATTAATCGAACTATTACTGACAACTTCATTAAAAGGGGTTGCATAATTGAAAAGATATAAGGCGAACAGACAGCGATGACATTCTTACATGATAACAAAACCTTAAGGCATTGCCATTCTAGAGGATTAAACTGTCAGGCTACAGATACAGAAATCTTGCAATTTCACTGCCACTAACAGATTTCAGCTTTTAACTAAACAAATTAACAAGCTGCGGTGGCTAAATAGGAGACATAACTACTCATGCAGACAACTATATAAAGCCCACCTTTGTAAAAACTCAGATTAATGAAAAGAATAAAACAAAATGTTCAGGCTTTGTTATTTAATGCTCTTATATCTCATCCAGTACAACAGTTGTCTTCTCAGATACATATAAACCATCTAAGAATTTTCTGATATCCTTATTTTTGACTGTTGTGGACTGTTGAATCAGTGCTGCAGAGCTAGAGACATCCTCCAAGGAGTTTCCTTCAATGATCAACTCATCCTTCTGCTTCGGTGAGTTCACTACAGTCACACCAGGTGCCATTTTAACTCTCCTGATGAATTTCTCACCAAGGAAGTTACGGATTTCAATAACACTGTTGCCTTCGGTGGTAACACAGTTGATGGGGAAGTGAGCATATACAGCACGCATTTTGTATTGGAATCCCTTTGTCACACCTGAAATTATAAACAGTTATAGAAATTTAAACCAAAATTACATTCTAGAACCAAAATAAAAGTTAAATAGGTTTAGTTCAGTCAAGAACAAGATATTATTTTGTCTTTGTAAAGTTACAGTTGTTAATTTACAAAAACGAAATATCAAAGATAAAAGATTTTATTCAAATTAGCACTTACTATGCATTGAAAATTTATATTTTATAATTGCTTACAGTAAATAATCCCTCTAAATAAAAATAGTAGTAGTTGGCTTTTTTTATGATCATTTACAAATTTCTTAATAATTTACTATAACTGCTCTTGTATTAAACTATAACATACATCACTTAGTATATTAATGATATGTTATTAAATTTGATAGTTTTTGAAAACAAAGCCAAATAGTAGGACAAGTAAAATGAACTGATGATAGCAAATTCACAAGGAATTGACTAAAATGTTTTGGGAAGGTAGTATGTAATATTGTGTATCTAATGAAACTACCAATGTCTATTACTAATTAACGATCCCAAACTACTCCACTTTTTCAATTTAACATTTGTATTATATATTTTTAAAACGGTAATGCTACATTAGTTTAAAATATTTTTATTACTGAAAGCATAAATAAATGACAATTAGAAATACCTTTGATCATATTTTCAACATGGGAGCAGACCGTTCTGACGGCAGCAAGCTCTTTTTTTGAGCCAAACCATTTCTCTACCTTAAGTGTACGAGAGTTCACCATGCGAATGTCCACAGCTAAATGTTTGAAGTTTCTCTTCAAAACTCCTCGAGGACCTTTCACAGTCACCAAACGCGATTTCACATGTACTGTGAGTCCTTCAGGGACCTTCACTTTCTGATTTGCCACAATTTGTTTCATTGTGAGGCCTAAAACAATATATAATATGAGATATAACCTATAAGTAATTGACAAGTTGTTATTATTCTGTTTGATTACAAAATAAATTGAAATATCATAAAACAAATGTGTTTATTAACTTCCGCCGGTGGAAAAAATAAAAAATACATGTATTTGTAAAAGATTAAAACTGATTTAATACGATTATTCCAAAATAAATCACCTAGTTTCTTTGACAGAAAGAGCCCAAAAATTGAAAAGATATAAAACAAAATTGTTGGCAAGAACGAACAGGGTTGCCAACCTAAAATATAATAAAATTCTCCAAACTTACAACAACAACTTACAACAGTACTTTATAATATTTTTTTATAAAATTTTGAGGTATTTGCTAGTAAAAATATCGGATGCAGTATAAAATTCATAAATAAATTTCCATAGATATAAATATCGAACCAATTGTACGATGATTGATTATCTTCTCGAATCTGACACTGGAAACGTAGTCATCACTAGTGATTGTTTATATATTTGCTAATATGCAAATGGTAATCATCATTAACAACTAGGCATCAAAACCAGTCTCTCTAAGCTGAGCTTCGACCTTTTTGTATTGCTACAGATCACACATATTAACACAATTTTATAAAGCTTATGTTGTATTATGTATTGTCTATTCTTATGAACATGGTGTGTGTGATTAGTAACAAATAAATAAACGATATATATCTATATCTATCTAATGTGTGCTTCCAGTCTGCTAGCTTTGTTGAGTCACGGTTGAAAAAATATATAATAGTAGGCCACGTGGACAGAAGGAACGGCAGGAGTAGGGCCTGCGCTATAGACCGATTCTGTTCGAGTTACCGTCAAGCGAAAAATACAATCGGCGATCCACTTGGTACAGGGTAAATATGCCATCCAATCAATATTCTCCAGGCTGGACAATATTGGTTGGAAGATTTTTTGGATTCCTAGTGGTCACGACGCGACCCTCAGCCTTGAGAACACTCAACACAAGACAGAAGATAATGGTAGGTAATGAAGGTATAAAATTTTGCTCGGAAGTCGATGTGGTTACGATTGAAACCCACGGAGAAATTATATAAATTTCCTTAGCAAAATTATTATAAGTAATTAAACGACGCTAAATCTGTATTAATAAAAAGGTGTCATTAAAGTAGATTTTTCTCACATTTTGCTTTTAAGCTTGTGAGTTCCAGTATAGTGGTTACTTGCTCAGTGATCAGTCAGATTGACGCCGATTGATATTGTTGTCAGTAATATAAACAATTCCTTCATTTCGGTAAAATAATAACTTTTGTTATGAATTGGTTAGACAATATATAGTTTAATTTTTAGAATTTTGTTTTTTGGTTAATCAGGTTTTCGCTTAATAATTTATCTATAGCTAACAGTAACTAACAGATTTTGTATTTAATTATTTTTTATTAATTACTGAAAAATTACAAAATACTATTTGTCTGATTTGTGATAGGGTTTCGAATCCATTGGTCTGGAATGATGTTCAGCTCGGTAGTTCGTAGGGATATAAAATTATGTATGAAGTTGTTTCCTAAAGGTACTAATTGAAGTTATACCAATATTCTTTTCAGCGCAAAAAAGAATTTGTGTCCAAATTCATTTTTGTGTTATTGTATTATTATGTATTATGTTATAAAATATATTTTAGGTTTCAGCACTAAGGTGTCTTGGGATATAGCTACAAGTGTGTGCATTGAAAGGGTGCCAGTAGTATCACCGCCACTCAGCGATATTCAAAAAAGATATAATGATATGTTATATACTTTGGAAATTGAGAAAAGTTTGAAGTCAGACCATGAGCTTAGGCATGAAAATGACAAGTAAGCATGTTTAAATGATTTCTTATTGAAATATATCAAGACCTACTTATTGCATTACTTACAAATTTACAATCGAACAATCTTAATATGACTGTACTACTTTTCATTTGGAAATATACATTTTACTGTGTAAATTCATTAGTTTGTTCTGTTCATTCATTACCTTTTTATCAAAAACCTATCAAATAGATAATTTTATTTATCCGAAAATATTTGATACATATTCTCTTTTAATATTCTAGAATTCAAGCAGAACTTCTCAAGAATGACGCTGCTGATGTTGACATGGATGCTATCAGCAAAATTACTGCACAGGACTTTGAAGATGCAGCTAATGAAGAATTAGCCAAATTCAAATTTGCTGCTGTTGAAACAGGTATGTTCTGTACTAAGTATAGATGTATAGATATTAAATAAATCAAATAAAAACTAATTTTGACTGACCATTAATTTTGCTCTTTGAACATAATACCTAATTATGGACATTATGGAAATGTTTTTAATGAATGAAACTTTTAATATTTTGATGAACATTTCCATTTGTCTCATTGGGTCAGATTTTACATGCTTCATTCAACTTCATTCAACCTGTGTTGACATTCTTAGAGATGTTTGTTATGAATTTTAGTTTTACGGGTAATCCGTTTTTAACATGTACATAATAAATAAAATATATTTGCTATTGGCTGTTCCTGTGACTTCTTCCACATGGAATTTAACTTTATTTTTCTAAAATAAAAGTAGCCTGAGTTACTCCTTATTACATCAGCTGCCTGCCAAAAAAAGTCCAGTCATAATCGATCTGGCCATTTCAGAGATTAGCCAGAATAAACAGACCAACAGACAGCAGACTTTTTTATTTGTATATATATATATATATTCATATGCATGTAGTAAAAAACGGTTATTTCAATATTACAAACAGACACTCCAATTTTATTTATATGTATAGATTTATAAAGGTTTTTCTTTTTTCTGTGAAACACATTATCTTTACATATTACTTTCAGACTTTATGTCTGTGTCTGTCTAGACAGACAGTGTATTTGTGTATTTTTTGTTCCTCTTTAAAACTTCATAGTGATATAAGTTTATATATTATCTTTACGATATTAAGACCTATCAGTGGTTCTCCGTTTATTGCTATTAGTAATGTAGGCTGTGACATAATCAACAATAATGACTAGGTGCCGCATTTGTATATTTTCCAATAGCTTTGCTTGGTTTGCTTTGCTTGCTTTTATGATTTTCATTAGAATTCTTTTTAAATTTTTTGTTTAACAACAACATACTATGAGGTTGAATTACTAAGAATGTTTACTTTTTGTATTATGCGGTAATGTTCCCAGAATATGAGATATCTTCTGAACTATTCCTATTCTAGTTATTTGAAGTATCATGTTAAAGCTGAATATTACTACATTACAGAAGCTGACAAAAAAGGAGACAAATGTACCCCACATAGGTGTTTACAGAGACATTTAGTACTGGTCACAGATGTACAGCTGGGCCAAGATAAGAAAAAGTTGCTGCCACAGGGCTTATGGAAAGAAGGTGAAACACTACGACAGGTGAGTTTTAATAAGTATATACTTATTTATTTACATCATACTATGCTTTACAGTTTCCTAATATGCTTAAGGAAGATTATATGTCAGGAACATATAATAATTAAAAGAAAAAAAAATCTATTTTTATTTCAGCTTCATTGTAAGATCTGTTGTTGCTGGACGATAGTAAGACAGTGTACTTATAGGTCAGCATTTCATCGTAATGAGGGTCATATTATAGCGTGATGCCACGCCTTCAGGCGGGACATTAGCTTGTTTACTTTGGTTACGTCATAATATTTTTCGTAATTGGTTACAGACAGCTGAAAGGATATTATTAGAACAATGTGGACCAGAATTGAAAGTAAAATTCTTATCTAATGCACCATGCGGATTTTATAAATATAAGTACCCATCAGAAATTAATGGAAAAGTTGGTAGTAAGGTAAGCATATGTTTATTATGTATTTAGGTTTTAGTTGACTTAATATTTTAAGTAAATTCATTAACATTGTAGGGATAAATAGTTCTTAATTAATATATCATACTTAGTACGTTATATTATACGTACTAAAACTACTATGCCTATGCATTACGTCAATTAGGAAAAAATACAAATAAAATGTGTGCATCGGAATCGTACTTTGCGGTAACTCATCAGATCTCAAAACCTATTATGATTGTTTAGAAGCGTTACCTTAGAATAAGACCACTCACAGTAACATGTCTATACATATTGAGTTTTCACGGGTTGTAAAAAAACATCCGCATTAAATAAATATAAATAAATATAGAATATAGTTTTAAAAAAAGAGTTAATGCTTACCTTTTAAATAGTCTATCATAGAACTGCAAAATGATCATCATCATTATTATCTTATTTATATGTGTAGTATGTTTATAATATATATAAATATGTATGTATGTATGCTCATAATTCGTTTGTATGTAGTATATTATCATGTATATGTATGATCTTATATCTATTTAATATAATTACATTTAATTTCTTAAAACGAAACCGCCTTCGAGTATCTCTGCACTCCCTAAGGTTGGCTGGTAGAGAATGCTATTAGCATTAAGCCCGCCTATTGTACAAATCAATAAAGTTTAAAATAATAAATAAATAATAAATAATAAATATGTTTTCAATTGTAACAATTTAATCTTACTCTGTATGCATGTTCTTTATGTTTTATGACACCGCAATAAATAAATATATGTGAAAAAAAAAATCTTTACATAAAATAAAATAAAATAGTGATGAGGTGAAAATTATTTGTCTTTTACACGAAGTCGAGGACACTTTTAGTATATTAATGAAAATTATATAATTTATTTAATAATTATTATATTATATATAAAATTTATTTAAGTATAATTAAGAATTACTGTGATTAAAAAATATTGTTCATTTCTTAATGGTCAAAGTAATTATTATTTGATTGCATATCAGTTGTATTGATAACTAGCTGTGCCCGCAGTTTAGAATATATTTATAGCCTATGTATTATTCTGATGTATATAACTATACTATTGCAAAGTTTTATTAAAATCCTTTCAGTAGTTTTTGTGTGAAAAAGTAACAAACATCCATCCATCCGTAGGTTACTCACAAAACTTCCGCTTTTATATATAAGTAAAAAACTTATAGTACGACTTTTCAACACTATGTTCTCACTAATGCCTCATGTCATAATGGCGTACTTTTTATTATTCAATATAGACGTCGTCTCAAAGCCCTGGTATCGAATCCTATATTCAAAAGCATGGTCAGAACGTTCTCTTGATCAGCTTTTTAAAACTACAATAGAAACAAAACCAGTTTCTATTGTGGTTATATAACCTATTTTCGGTCAAACTATTGGTATTATTTCATGAATGATTTTGCAGGTGTTCTTCTACTATGCCAGTTATAAGAGCGGAAACGTTACAAGCAATGTGAAAGCAAATTGGTTGACCAGAAATGAATTGACAGAAGTATTGCCGGTCAGATACAATAAGTCTGTACATGAATTTTTAATTGATGAAACGTTTTAGTTATTTATCTCTGAATAAAAAAATAGTTACATAGTTACATTGTAGTTTTTATATATATATATTTTTATATAAATAATTATAAATAAATATACTTGGACAATTAACACAGCGCCATCTAGTTTCAGGGTAAGCAGAACTTGTGTTATTGGGTATTAGGCAAGTGAAATATTTTTCTTCTCAATATATATATGTATATCTATATAGGAAACACCCAGACGTATACAAAGATGAAATGATACTCATGAATACAAATGTTTGCACCATGCGAGGAATCGAAGCCGCGACTATCAGAATTAAAGCGGTGTATTAAACCGCCAGATCACCGATTTATAATGGGAATGGCGAATAAGCTGAAGAGCCTCCTGGTGGTAAGTGGTAATCGACGCTTATATACATGAGCGATACCACTTCATTAAGGGAAGTCCAATCGAGAGATATTAGTATAGTAGTAGTAGTAACATAGTTTGTAAAGAAGCTGCTTTGCGGCTGGTTGAAACAGGTTTTTTTTCATGTTTGATAATGGAATGGTGCACCCGCTTGCGCTAACGGTTTACGCTGGCGAGGCACCAGTGTATATCCATCTGCTTATGAGTTTTCAAGTACTGAATAATTAGAAATATCATTTGAGGGTATTCTATTTCTTCTTTCTATTTATGTTTTATTTTATCAGTTACATCAATATAATAATAACCAGGTACAATCTGTACAATCAATGACGACCTCGCTAGTCTAGCGGTCTAGCACACTGCTTTACATCCGATGGTCGCGGGTTCGATTCCTCGCACGGCACAAACATTTGTATTCATGAGTATGATTGTTTGTGTCGGTCTGGGTGTTTTCTATGTATATTATGTATGTATTTACGAAAAAAAAAATTATCTATGTATTTGCATTAGTTATCTAGTACCCATAACACAAGCTTTAGCTAGCTTAACTTGGGTCTAGATGGCGCTGTGTGAATTGTCCCGAGATTATTATTATTAATCTACATAGCAGCATCTGGTGTTAAGCTAAGCAGAGTTTGTGTTATGGATACTAAACAGATTATGTAAATACTTATATATATTTTTATAAATACATACATAATACAATGAAATAACACGCAGCCAAACATAAACAATCATGTTACAAATGTTTGTACTGTACTGTATGGAAACGAATCTGCGACAATTGTAATAGGGCTTTGTGCTAAGCTGCCAGACCACCGATATCGTCAAACTGATTTATCCGTAAAGCGTACAAACATCCTTATGATTTTTATGCTACAACTTCAGAAGGCTTACTAATCATGTAATATTATCTGTGTCAAGACTACAAACAAGAGAATATATTTGTATTTTTATCTAAAAGAATAATATGTCAGGTTGACCTCCACGCGGTTCCTTCTGGAAAGCAACATGACAAATTTGTGTTGAATTTGTCACAAACTTACCTGACCTCAAGGTTATTATATTATCCTTCACTGGCGCTCCGCAAGCGTAAACCAGTCCACTATCATCCATTAAAAAAAGGATATAGTAAAACAAAGCCCATCCCGAAAATAGTGCTGCTATGTTTTATTCGTTAAAGAATAAAACTTGGCAGTGATAACAAATTAATTAAAGCCTGTCGATGAATTGATGCTAATAATGACATATTTAATGCTAATGGATACTTTTAAAACCATGAAGTTTTTTAACCGATTTTGTCTTAGGAAGGTAAGATGACCAGTGACCGGCAAACACCCCAATTATAATGCAATTTTTAAGATTGCTTGAATTATTAACCGTTGTGATGCCAAGATTTAAACCTGAAATTTAATTTTGAAAGAAGTAATATTAAGTGGGTACTGGTGATGCCATACAACTTGAGAGCATGTTTAATTTCTGTTGAATTTGATCGCTAAGTGACATTCACAAAAAAAACTAAAATTAATTGAATTAAGTAGTAATTACATAGGTCTATGACATTATAACAATATATGACACATATACCCATGACACACATCGGTACTTTAGTCCTTGCCAAAGTTTTTAAGGAGGAACCATTCTTGAGGAGGAACCACGAGTAAAATATCTCTGTGTTTTATATGTAAATATATAATATATACATAATATATTTCCATATAAAACACAGATCAATGAGATCAGATCAGTAGGTACACATAATCTTACAGATAAATATTAATGTTTGTATCCTGTGGAAACCGAAACCCGAACCATCGGCAGTAAGAGCGTGTGTTAAACTGCTAAACAACGACGGCCGTCGAACTATGAGTACTAAACAGTTTCCAATATGTATACAGAAATTAGCCAGACCAATAGTATATAATAAAAAGAAAGAAATGATTAGTAATAGCTAGATTTATGGATAAGTACTATTGTTTGTATTGTCCTAGGATTTAACCTGCTCAGAAAGTTAAGACAATGCTGTAAAAACCATATCTCCTAGTTCGTTTGATTCCTTAGTTGATATTATATAGGTACTCACTTACATATAGTGGTAGTATTAATATGTCTCGACCCTGATAAGGAAAACTAGCAAAATAATAAAGGTATAAAGTTTACATATCTGGTTAAAATATACTTACCTACATAAATTATGTCGATAGGTGTGGTTGAGTAGCCATTAAATGTTATTATTGAAAGCTCTTAAAGTGCGCAGTTAGCTTTCGTTTCCTCCATTTACCAAGAAACATTGTTTAGCGCGAATCTCGTGCCACAAGCACAGTTGAGTTCACAGTAATGCATCGAAATAGAAGTTTACTCAAACAATGAGCGTGATTTACTGGTAAACAGATTTCGGGCTCGAAGTTTCCAGATCTCTGACTATCTTCATTGGATCTTATGTGTTATTATTTAGAGTTGGTATTACGGCAGCATATTGTATTTTAAATGAGGATTTCAGATATGTTTCATTAATTTGATCTCTGAGGGCCTGCATTCAAAGTTTAAAACTGTACGGTTTTGGTTACTGCGGGATGGAACATGTTAGCTGCACTTGCCAAGGTTCCCGGTCTTTTCAGGTGGTTTACAAACACTACCGCGTGCTGTTTTTCGTTCGTAAGATATAACATTAAATAATTTCTTGTGAAAAGCAAGTAAATACAGACTTGTTGTTTCGTTTTCATTGAATTAGTCAGCACATAAATGTTTTGTTGTGTAATCTTCATATACAATGTCGAGGTTGATGGTTCAATAGTACCTAGGTGACTAGTTCTAATACCTGGATATCTCGATAGGTCGATCGGTACCCTCTACACGATATTTGCCGCCTTTATTTATGCTGTATTTCATAAAAAATATTCAGTTATGTACTTGTATTTAACAACTATGTATATGTCATTTATAGTAGTTGTCGTAATACTTCTTTACAGACGTAAAAATGAGCTTACCTACGCGTTCATTGTAAGTAGAACTGCACTTTATAAGCTACCAAAATTAGGCGCTATTTGTCAATCATTAGGCATGTACCTACAATATTTACATTTTATATAAATTATTGCATTAATTTTCTTTCGACAGGTTCTTTGACAAGCACCCGCGATAACACATGATAATGTGATGTTATCACTAGGTGGTGGTTATCACTTACCATCGCATGGACAGCCACCTTGTTGCCTTTGCAATTATATAAAAAAATATTTATAAGGTCGAGCGGTTTTTCATACACTCATGTTGTGTTTATTTAAATTAAATCTCGATATTGCGCCTTGCAAATGTATTACATAATAACATCTGGTATTTTTCAGTTTAACACACAAACGTTTGATTTCTGAACTGAAAGACGTAATTTGATTTTTTTATTATTTTTAACCAAAGATTACAGAGTTTTGTTTGAAAGTTGTTTGTTATTTAGGCCATCAAACAGCGAGTTGTTTATGCATAGGTTATCTACTAAACAGCTGGGGAAGTTGTTAATGTTCATGTTGGGGATTAGAGGTCCCTTTGCTACCTGTAGTTAGGTTCTAGTATTTACTAAAAACAGCGGGGAAGGAAATGTTAGTGTTGAGCATAAGAGGTCCTTTTGCTAGCAATATGCCATGACTGTTCGACCTTCACTAGTACTCAGACAGCGTATAACTAACTCTTGGCGCTGGATGGTGTACCATTCCGTCGTTATCTATCCAAACATTTACAACAATCTCTTGATTAATATATAGTCCGTAATGATAGAGACGTTACGTTATAGGTAGATATTTGATACTGAACAGTTTAGGCAATAGGTATAGATAATATCAAAATACCCAACAGTCCAGAGCGATTTAAAATATCTGCCATTCCATTTGAAGTTTATAAATGTTAAATATATTAAGAAAATAGTAATATTGAAGGTTCTTCCATTTTTGGATTTGATTACAAAGGTATACCTACTTATTTTAATTGTTATTTATTAGATGTAACTGTTATACTTTTTACAAATCTTACCATAAAGATAGAAAGGGCTCGTCAGATGAATATAATCTGGTAATTATACATTCTAAAACGACAGAGCTGTTAGTTCGTCATTGAGGCTTCTCTCCCTTACATAATACTCTTCGGAATTTGGAATCAAGAACACACGCGAAGCGAGCCTAGTTAGAATGTTTTCTACGACAGACACTGTGTGATTTGATTTTGATAAAGATTTAGAAAATATGGAATGTACTTTTTTTTAAATAGATATATCTATTTACAAAAATATTTAATCAACTTGTCATGAAAAAGACAACATTTTGTAAATGGAACATAGAACTAATAGGTATATTAAGTAAGTAGGTACTTAGGTATATATCTTATAGCTTTTATCAAATGCATCATGTATAGGTATATATAGTAGGTATGTATACCATGCTGTGTTCTGAAGTCAATAGAATTACTTATAGTAGCAGGAGGAATTTTTGTGTACATTGATGTTCTTTGATCATACATGAACTTCTTAGTTTCGATAAAATCCGATTGATGTTATAATAAAAGATGACACTTTAATTTAATTTTCTATAGGTATACCTATGTAGGTATACCCACATAAGATAAATACTAGTGCAACAGTGAGATTTCTAACTTACAA